CCTTGTACTACAGCTGGCCATTCATATGTCCTTCCTCCCCACGAGACTGTAAGTTTCTGGAGCGGAAGAGATCTGGATGTGAGTCTGGTTCCTCTTGGCAACCACCATACAGCCTAACACAGTGTCTGGTTTGCCTAGGTACCCAGTCAATGACAAAAACTCCTGAAAGAAATCTTCCTCTGGCTTTTCAATGCCCCACTCCCTTGTCCCTTCTCGGAGCAATAGTTCTGGGTAGCGGGGGAGGAGAAAGAGTACGCTAGGAATCAGTCGTCCACCTAACGACTCGAAAAAGGTGAATCGTCCCATCACAAGAGGGCTTAAACCATTCACAGGACAACAGTGAAAGGGAGAAGGCCACTTCTGGAGCAGCACATCAAAGGATCAATAAGACACAGTCCCAAGCCTTGAAAGGGCTCACACGCCAGTAAGGGAGGCAGACAGTGACAGGCACGATGACAACGCTCGAGGGGACCTCGGGTCTCCAGGGGAAGGGCGGGGGTAAGCTTCTTCGCTGGCCCTGCAACACCACCCGCGCCGCCCTCGCCAGCTCCTGCACTCACTCTTGTCCAGAGGGCGGGTTAGCTCGGCCCCGACATCGCCGTCAGCGCTGCGGCCCTGCGGTTTCACAGTCAGCGGCACGAACAAGGACGTGTTCGGAGATTTGGAGCCTCCTGAGGCAGAGGAAGAGGCGCAGGCAACGGCAGGAACGCGCCCCAGAGTCCCAGGAAAGGGCCCAGTGTGGGCGCGAAGGGCAGAGCAGATGGCTGCCCGGGGGCCAGGCTGGCGCCCCGGGGGAAGCCGAGCCCACAACAGGGCACACCGGGGGAAGGACATTGAGACCGCAGACTCGAGAGGAGGCTGGCTGGAGCAGCCTGCAGACACGGCGGCGGGCAGTGACGCACAGCGCCAGTGCCTATAGCCCGCAAAGACCCAGAACAGCGGAGCTGCCCAGGAAGACGCCCGATCAATAAGGAAAAAGTAGTGCCGGAAGATTGCTCGTAAAGGGGAGGAAAAGCTTAGAAGCGAAAATCACAGAAGATAAGTGCTTGCAAGTCCTTGTTCTCTCTCTCTTTTTTATTGGAGATTGGAGCCAGCTTTCTTTAAAAAAATAATCTGGCACCTTTGGGGATGTCACAGATGAGAGGCGGGACCTGCGAGGTGTGTCACATGACGCAAGCTGGCCCTGCGGGTAAGTGTTCGGAAGCACGTGGTCAGTGCGGCCAAGCCTTGTGGGTGCGACTGGTGAGAGACGCAACTTTCTAGGTTGTGGCGCCACCGTGGCTTGCGGACTCGAAGCTTTGAAGAGCATTTCCCGAAAGTTCCTTAGATTATTAACTTTCGTTTCCTGATGGAAGGCGTTAGAGAACATAACTTGATCTGCCCTTCAGGACCGTTGTTAAGGAATTTTGTTCCACAAGTTCTTAGGTACACCCCTTGTATGACTTGTGTAGGTACTTATACTTTAATATGAGCAGTTTGTATACATCATCCTAGCAGCTGGTATGTCACAGCCGCGTAGCAAAAATATGTACCCTGTATTCGGGGCAAAGGTTAATTTCTTTTGCATTAGTTGGATACTGTTTCATTTGAGGTTGCAACATCTTAAATTCAAGATATGCCGTTGGATTTTCCATATCTCTTATTATACTTAAAACATTAAGGTCTTGCAACTTGAAGGAGCACGGCATATGATTTGTAATATTGCATGTCAAATAAGATTTCAGTAACAATTTGCTATTGTGCCTTTGATTCACCGAATACTTTTTTTTTTTTTGCTGTACGCGGGCTTCTCACTGTTGTGGCCCCGCCCGCTGCGGAGCACAGGCTCCGGACGCGCAGGCTCAGCGGCCATGGTTCATGGGCCTAGCCGCTCCGCTGCATCCCGGACCGGGGCACGAACCCATGTCCCCTGCATCGGCAGGCGGACTCTCTACCACCGCGCTACCAGGGAAGCCCGTCACCGAATACTTTTTAAACATCAAGGATTCAAGTAGACGGCCCTTTGCCCTCAAAGAGTTTTTGATCTGGTTTTGGTCATACTAACGGTTAACGTTAAGTTAATGAAAATGTTTATTATTCTTAGGCTAATGAGAGTTCAAAGAACTATTCATGCCAGAACTACAGGCCGGTTGTTATGTCATCGTTTCTCACCTACATACCTCTGAACACATTGGGTGCCTAGTACAACTGCTATCAAACCACTAAAACTGTATCATAATTGTGTTTATAGAGTAGTAGTACTCAAACTTCAGGGTGCATCAGAATCATCTGGCAAGTTTGTTAAAATTGTTGGGGCCCTAATCCTGGAGTTTCTGATTCATAGGGTCTGGGGTGGGGCCCAAGAGTACGAATTTATAACATGTTTCCAGGTGATGTTGACCCTGCTGGTCTGCGGAACCACACTTTGAGAACCACTGCTCTGGGTTATAGTTCCTTCAGGGTAGGGCAATAAAATAGCACTAAGGAAATACTCAGGAAAATGCTGAATGAATGCATAAATAGAGAATAAATGGGGGACAGGGAAAGGAAGTGGGAGAAGTAAAGATATCCTTGGCAGTAGGGAATAAACTAAGTTCTCTCTTCTTTGCCTTTGCTATTAACAAAACCTGGTTTATAAGTTTTCTCAAAAGCACATTCTAGTAGATTTCTCCCCCTCACATCTTGCCTACAGATTCTGTAATTTGACATTTCTAGAGTATTTTTCTAATGTAAGGTTATCATGATCTGGATAACAAATTGTTTATCCCTTAGAATCATGGAGTAATAGAGCAGGAAAGGGGTCTTAGAGATTATCTGGTCCAGTTTCCCCAGAACTAGGGAGGGAGCAACTATCAAATGCATTTGTAGAACTTGTAGATAGTGTCCACATGGTCCTGCTCTGCTGTCTTGCTTTCTCTCCCCAGCCTGATAAGACTCCTAGAGAGCCTAGTCTATTTCCTTTATTCCAATACTAAGTTGCATAACAGTTCTTATCCGTAATTTTATTACATTTAGACACATTTTTTTTTCTAAAGGAGGACACCTTTAATTTTATAAACACTAGGAAAATAAGCTTCATCCATTTATTCAGATATTGAATGTATTATGTGATAAGCACAAAGTATACCAAAACAAAACAGGCTGAGCCCTCAAGAGGCTTATTAAGTCCATACAATTAAAAAGTCTTCTAGAAGTGTGGTAAACAGTCCTGGAGGTGTGCACAGCATGACTTGGAAGCACAACAAAGGGACATGTCTTTGACTTAGAGGTGGAGATGGTGTCAGACAAGAGTGGCCCGGAGAGTCTTACAAGAACTTAAGTGAAGTGCCAGCACAAGGGCACGCCTTCTTCAAGGAGTCTGGCATAGCTGGAGCTTAAGGTGTTTTGTAATAGGGAATTTAAGCTTTTCCTGGAATCGAGTCACTGAAAGATTTTAAATAGGGGAGTGACATAAGAATTATGCTCATAGAAGATCCCAAGCCTAAAAAGGGATCTGTCATATTTGAGAGTGCACATTTTCCTCACTGTATCTTTGATTTGAAACTGTAAAATGTGTTACATTTCAATCCAGGCTAGTATAAACCCCCTGGAGAGTGCCTGTGTATGTGTTCAACAGATCCAGCTGAATATAAAAGGAACAATTTAAGAATTTACTGACTCACATGCTAATTGGAATTGAGTATTCCAACTACTTGATCCACATTGAAGGGGTCCAGAATATGCCACTGGGGCATAAAATTTTTAGTAGAAGGCATTGGAGTTCCTGAAATCCTGTCTGCCTAATAGCAGAGCCTCCCCAAAGAACTCCATTGCCATAAATCCCTCACAGGGAGCAACCAGGGAAGATTAACTCATCACCAGAAACAGCGAGAAATCGACACCTAAACAGACTTTCGTTACAGAACTATCATATCTACCATCTATTTTCCTAAGGATCGTTTTATCTTTCCTAAAAATCATTGGCTTTCCCATTAGTGCTTTCTCCCCACAACTTCCTCTAAGTCATTTATAAGCGTACTTCACCCCCTTTCCCCTAGCAAGATGATATATAAGCCCCAAATTCTAACCACCCCTTTAAGTCACACTTTTGTGAACTTCCTCTAACTCGACTACAACTGTCTTTTCTTTCGCTAATCTGTCAGTTTAATTAGTAGGCTCTCAAACACAAAAGTGGGTAAAGTTTCTCCTCCCCAACAATTCAAAACAATGAAATTAGCTATTTCTCTCTTCACCAGCGAGAGAAATTACTAATTAAATGGTTTGAACAGTGGTTCTCAATCCTTGGTAGTTTTTATTTTTTAAATAATTTATTTTTGGCTGCTTTGGATCTTTGTTGCCGTGCACGGGCCTTCTCTAGTTGCAGCGAGCAGGGGCCACTCCTTGTTGCAGTGCGGGGCTTCTCATTTCAGTGGCTTCTCTTGTGGCGGAGCACAGGCTCTAGGCACTCTGTGTTCAGTAGTTGTGGCACGTGGGCTTAGTTGCTCTGCAGCACATGGGATTTTCCCAGACCAGGGCTTGAACCTGTGTCCCCTGCATTGGCAGGCAGATTCTTAACTATTGCGCCACCAGGGAAGCCCCAATCTGGGGTAGTTTTTAAATGCTGCTGTCCGGGCCCCTGAAATTCTGATTTTATTGGCCTGGATAGGACCTGGCATGATTATTTTTAAAAACTCCTAAAGTGATTTGAATGTGCAGCCAGGGTTGAGAACCACTGGATTAGATACTGTACTCTTTATTAAAGACACAAATTTCTTTTTCAGTTCATTTCTAATTAACTGGCCAACTTTTTACAGTTCACCAAATACTGAGTTCAAATTTTTATTTTTTAAATCGGTTATGCAACAAAATTCCAAGTGAATAAGCGTCCTATTTATGACAGTGTTTTAAGCCACCTAATTAAAAGCATTATATATTTAAAATTGAAATTGAATATTTTTAAAAACTTCTAATCATCACAATTATAGCTTCCTAAACTACTGAGCAATTCTGCCCCCAAAGATAAATATGACAATGAGAAGAGATTTGAGAATATAAATATTTTAATCATTCACATAGCAAGCTCAGTATGTTTCAAATTCTTTATTATACATCATGGTTGCACAATTTGAGGCTGGTTAAATACAATTGTTTTTCAATTTTTCTTTGAATATTTTCCAGATTACTACATGCAAGTGACCATGAAAATATTTGGCATTTTAAAATTCTGAAACTCTGAACAGGCACTTACATGAAGGAAAACATTACCATTCACAGATATCCACATTTAAAATAGATGCTCCAGCACATGGTACCTGGAACCTTTTGCCAGTTAAGAAGTTGGTTACTGACCATTTTTCAAAGTGCCATAGTAGTAAAACAGGCTTAAAGAAATGTAATTTGGGTTACTTAGCTTACCCATAAAGTAAGGTTAACTGACAAGACTTGCACTGAAGTGTATAAAAAAATATTGGTACAAAAACCAATGAACCGTAAGTGAAAGTAGTTTCACACAACAGGCTTCATTTTAGTTCCTACACCCCACATTTAGTGTATTTGCGATCAGACCCCATGCATAGCATAAAAACAGATGACTACAACCTTCTTTTTCAGAGGCTTTGAACAATACTTGAATTTAATATTAAAAAAATTTAAACAGAGTGGATGAACTGGTTTAAATTTGAGTTTGAACTAGTCAACTTTCCAATTTAACAAACATGAAATTGTCGAGATTTGGGTAACTACATACTTCACCAGTTCTCCTGAGTCCCCCATCCTCAAATTTTCCCCTGAAAAGGGAAGAGAATATTTGCAAGAAAATTATGTTTGCATATATGTGCTAAAAAGATTCCTTAAATCAAAAAAATTTTTTTTCAAAGTATTTATGGAAAAATTATATAGTTTTAACAAACTAAAATGCCAACACAGAGTCAACTCCACATTGCAGAAAACATACCGTGGTACCTATCTGATAGTAGTAGCAAAATGGTTACTTAATATGGTACCCCCCCCAAAAAAAAGCTGCAATGACATGCCACATAATCTCTTATGGAAAAAAATTTAATATTCACACCACAGAAGACTTCAAAGAGAACAAAATTCAGGAAGCCATGAAATGGTAGACTCAGAGGCACCTACAGCGAAACACTCATATGCATTTCTCAAACACGTATGGAAAAACAAAAATGTAGTTTTCAAAAATATTGAGATGCCATGTTTTAAATCTTTGCAGGATTAAGGGCCACTCAGGTTTTTCTAATTTTATTTGAACACAAAATGTTTAATTTTTTGCGTGTAGAGAATAAGAGGTAATCATTAGCATGAAAAAGGAGAATAAAAGAATTTGTAATCAACATTATGCAGAAAGAAAGCAAAATTACAAATACCAACCTACTCACATGAAAATCTTTAATGTTTATGCTGATGTACAGCTGAGTGCTTATCATTAAATGAAAGTGTGTGGTTAAAAAAACAACAACACGGCAGTTTAAGAAAGTTCCAGTGTTTCAAAGAAAGCACTTTTTAAATGTATATACATGAAGAACATTTAGTTATGTCATAAAATAAACTCAGCACTGTAAGATAAAGGAAGACTATCATAAATGGGGTTTTGGCCTTTTCCCCGCCCTACACACTGCGACCATCTTTAACCTGCCGAACTTCAGTCTCAACAGATATAGGAGTTTTTTTCTTTTTTTTCCTCCTATTCAGTTCACATTTCAGGCTGCTCAGCAGATGCCTGCGATTCTGGCGATTCAAATCGCTGGTGAAAGTTTGTTCTCTGTTTCCTCAGTTTTTCAGGAGCTTTTCTCCACAAAATTATCTCCTAGAAGACAAATGCAAGACAACAAATTAATGTCCTCATATTATTCCTTATATTTTCACCATAGAAATAATGCCACTTCAATTTTAACCATAACAAAACTAACTTCTTCCCTACAAAAGCCCTCCTCTTTCCTTATTGACTCACCTTCTTCCAATTCTAATCTTGGGCCTCCCCCCTTCTGGCAACTCTGCTCCCACCAGCACCCATGCATGCCACCACCATGAATCCAATCTGGCACAAAGTCCTAGCTATTACTGCTTTAAAGAATTCCTAAAATCTACCTTTTGTTTGTTGTTCCACTGCCCTTATCCAAATTCAAGCCCTTGTCACTTCAACCTTAGATACTAAAATAGCTTCCTGGTAGATGGGCTCTCCCTCCCTTGCCTGATACCCCTTTCTAAGCCATCCTTCCTATCACTTCCAGATCAGTCTAAAACATTGCCTGGATGACTCTTCCAATAGTTCTCAGTTCCTCCAGGATAAATCTCCAACCCGGCATTCAAGCCCTCCATAACCTTTATCCAATTTATCAACATCACTCTCTTCCCTACCTAGACCCCAGTACCCCACCAGCCAAACTGGGTTACTCTCTGCGTCTAACGCACTTCAAATTAAACTTTCCCTCCATCTTCCCCTTGATATTCTTCAAATCCCTCTTCCTCTGCCTATCTAAGTCTTACCCTAACCAATACATCCTCAGATCTCTTCTAAATTCTTAAAATTACTTGCTTCATAAAGTCATGGCAGGCTGTTTGTTTTTTAACCAACATAGCAGAATTTAAACATCCAAATGAATGCCCGTGGGAAGCATATACTTACTCAATAGGGCCACAATATGTAATTGATTTGGAAATTGTAAATTTCATATAATCTAATTTGAAATTATAAATCACCTATGTTTAATTATACAGCATTATGGCAGCATTAGCAGAGTAACTTTTCTCTTTTCCCAATTACTGTCAAACTATTAAAGTTTTCTGTTAATTATACACTCTCTCTTTCCACATATCCGCAATGTGAGGGCCTTGAGGACAAACCATGTTTAAAAAGGTAGCTTTTGTATTCATCACAGTACTCAACACAGAATAATTTCCTTTTTTTTTCCAGAATAATTTCTAATTTAGTTTTGAACACTCAACTGACATTCAAATATTAATCTGATTCCGAATACAAAAGACCATTCTAATCACTATCTTTTATTCAAAATTCACCAAAGGCTTTTAATTGATTTTAAAATGAGAACAAGTTTTATGATAAACATCTTATATTTAAAAAGTATTAGGGGCGGGCTTCCCTGGTGGCGCAGTGGTTGAGAGTCCGCCTGCCGATGCAGGGGACGCGGGTTTGTGCCCCGGTCCGGGAAGATCCCACATGCCACAGAGCAGCTGGGCCCGTGAGCCATGGCCGCTGAGCCTGCGCGTCCGGAGCCTGTGCTCCGCAACGGGAGAGGCCACAACCGTGAGAGTCCCGCGTACCGCAAAAACAAAACAAACAAAAAAGAAAGTATTAGGGACTTCCCTGGTGGCACAGTGGTTAAGAATACACCTGCCAATGCAGGGGACATGGGTTCAATCCTTGGTCCGGGAAGATACCACATGCCGTGGAGCAACTAAAGCCCGTGAACCACAACTACTGAGCCTGTGCTCTAGAGCCCACGAGCCGCAACACGCCTGGTGTCCACACGCCTAGAGCCTGTGCTCCGCAAGAAGAGAAGCCACTGCAATGAGAAGCCCGTGCACCACAACGAAGAGTAGCCCCTGCTTGCCACAACTAGAGAAAGTCCGCACACAGCAACAAAGACCCAACGCAGCCATAGATTTAAAGAAAAAGTATTAGATTTGGGTCATTTCAAAAACATTTATAAGAAGATTGTTTAATTATGGAAAAATGGAAACCCCCAAATCCATCAAGTTGATGCAGTCATTAAAAGTGATAAAGGAAATCTTTGTTGATAAAGGAAAGCTATTCAAGATACTATTGACTGAAAAAACAAATTAAAGATCAATATGCAGGGTTTCCCTGGTGGCGCAGTGGTTGAAGAGTCCGCCTGCCGATGCAGGGGACACGGGTTCGTGCCCCCGGTCCGGGAAGATCCCACGTGCCGCGGAGCGGCTGGGCCCGTGAGCCATGGTCGCTGAGCCTGCGCGTCCGGAGCCTGTGCTCCGCAACGGGAGAGGCCACAACAGTGAGGGGCCCGCGAACCGCAAAAAAAAAAAAAAAAAAAAAAAAAAAAAGATCTGCAAAAAAAGATCAATATGCATAATAATGATCTAAAAGCACATATACAAATTTGTCTAGAAAACTAATCACAATGGTGGTGGAAGTTTTGTTGACCTTTTACTTCATTGTTTTTTATTGCCTGATTTTTTTTTTAAAACAAATAGCAGGTATTGTTTTTATAAAAAACAAAGGTTTCAAGAGAAAAATAAAAGCCTTGCCAGGGACCTCCCTGGTGGTCCAGTGGTTAAGACTCGTCACTTCCACTGCAGGGGCCACGGGTTCGATCCTTGGCAGGGGAACTAAGATGCCTCATGCCACAAAATTAAATTAAAACAAAACAAAACAAAACAAAAGCCCTGCCAAATTATAGCCCATTCTGGAGTCCTGCAGAATGACCGGGAAGAGATGGATTACAACATAGTTCCATTCATGCTTACTTCTATAACATACTGTCAGTGTTTTCACTTACTTAGAAACCCCCACTTGCTCAGTACAATAAAGCTTAGAAAAGTGGCTGCTTTCCAGGTGTTTTTGGAATTGCCACAGAACAAAATAACATCTGGGTGGCACCATACCTGCTGCTTGAAGTACCTCCTGTCTTCCTCATCAACAAGGACTAGATTCAAAAAGTACCTTACTGAAAATTTTTTGTTCACATCTCTCATTGTTGGAGTTGGGTCATAGCCTGCTAAAAACAGTCTTATTGGAATTGATTCACCTGAAAGAAAAGCAATTTCCATTTAATTCTAAAGGATGATTAAATATATCAATAGTTACATAACACCTAAAACTAAGCATCATAGAGAAGACATTAATGCTTCAGTTCCTCACAAGACAGCAGCATAACAAAAGCTTTAGACAAGGGTTTCTCAGCCTTGACACTATTGACATTTTAGGCCCGATAATTCTTTGTCATGGATAAGGTCCTATGCACTGTATGAAGTTCAGCAGCATTCCTGGCCTCTACCCACAAGATGCCAGTAGCAGTCCCCAAATATGATAACCAAAAATGTCTACAGGCATTGCCAAATTTTCCCTGGGGAGGGGGGACCAAAATTGCCCCTAGATGAGAACCACTGCTCTAGAGCCAAAATGCCTGGATTTGAATCCCAACTCCAGCCAAGTCACTTAACCATCTGTTTCATCTGTACCATAATTTCTAATCATGTGTATAAATTCTTGAATACTTATTACTAATTCACCCAAAGCAACAAACATGTTCAGAATGATGACATTCCTTCATTAGCAATGAAGCAATAGCAAAAAGATTGCTATTCAGATTCTCATGGCTTCTCTTTTTCTAAGAATAATTATTTGCATATTCTGCTTTGAATCCTTTTTATGTAATAGTTTTCTTATGTATATCTATTTCCTTAAAGATGTACAACCCATCACTTTACATAAAAATTTGTGGCTGCTGGAATTTTACAAAGTTATGTTGCATAACACAAGAGTACACACACAAGAGTCCTGGAGTCAGAAACCCCTGGACTCAAACTCCAACTGTGCAATGACTAGCTATTGAAGGAAACCAGAATATGTCACCGAAAAATATTCCTCTTTGACATACAGATTATTTTGAGCTGAAGGCAATTAAGCAGCAGTAAAATCAGAAAAGAATCCCCTGTTCTGCCTAAAGGCAGGATATAAATTCTCCTTTTACTGAAGACAGCCTTTTTTCAGGCCGGGGATGGCACCAGAGGAATCTGCAAACAAGCCTACTCCATTGGTTTTCTCCCACATATTTACCTGCCCGTAGTTTGCCACCCTGGGAAGCCTAAACTGCTTTCCTTTGCCCAGTCATTTCTCTCCAAATTTATTGTTCTTTTGAAGATGCTATATAGGCTGAAATTCTAAGTCACAGCTTTGAGTTACTTTTTTGTTGAGGTTTCTCCTGGGTGATGTGTACTGCAGGCATTAATCAACTGTTTTTCTCTTATTGATCTTTTTGTTAAAGAATTCCAGCTGAAAATCTAAGACGGGTAGAAGGAAAGTTCTGCCTCCCCTACAGTAACAAGTTTTTTACCTCTACATCTCAGTTTCATGTATAAAATAAGGGTTACCACTACCTAACTCAAAGTGTGGTAGGGAACTTGACAGCGCCTGAGAATACAATGCCTCATCTATAGTTGGTACTCAGTAAATGGTAACTACTCTTTGAAGTAATTACTAACAGAGTAAGAAAAACCCAAAGACATAAATTTAAAATGATAAATACTGGCTTCATTGTCTTAGACACTGAAAATTATCTACTAAGGGAACTGCTTATTTTCTTGAGGGCTATATAAGAACTCCAAAATCCCACAATGAATACTCAATTATACTGCACCTTATGTTCAGCATGAGTAAAAAAGATTTACAGAGAGAAACTACTGTAACAAAAGGTAATTAAAATATTATAAATTCAGAACTAGGGAAGAGATATCCATAAATGTCTCTTCTAAATTCTAAATTTAAACTGAGTAAAAAATTAAAACTTATTTCAAACTAGAAAGTACTACTATAGTCTTCTCAGCATTTATACAAAGATAATCTTAAAAATCATTTTAAGAATTCACAGATATATTCACACTGAATAAATACTTTCAAACTAATCTGCCATGAACAGTGCTATCTGCACTACCTATAACTTAAAAGTAAATGAAAAGTGTATTACCTTTTACTGGTGCACCATCCATTATTTCATATTTAGCGATTGTTTCTGTTTCTGTTGTGGTACTGGGTCCTAGTGCAATAATGTAAATGATATTAATTTAAACACTGCTAGAATATGATCTCCAGACTTATACCTTCTTCCTATATTCTGACTACATTATTTTAGTACTAATTTACTTTCCCCTTTTGTGAAAATGTTGATCATTCTTTTCTATTTCTTGATCTACACTTACTTACCACCCAACTGAAGATCATACTCCCTTCCTCCCAAAGGTAATTCCGTAGACTCTTGAAAAACTGCAGGGGCTGGGGCGCTTGACCGTACACACAGGAAAACGTGTGTATAATTTATAGTCCGTTCTCGGTATCCTCCACTCCTCCCTATCCACGGTTCCTCCCTATCTGTGGATTCAACCAACTGCAGATCATGTAGTAGTGTAATATTTACTACTGAAAAAAATCTGCTATAAGTAGACCCATGCAGTTCAAACCTCATGTTATTCAAGGGTCAACTGTATACAGTTCAGAAATAATCTTCACAGACTTCCTTCTATCATTTCTAATATCTGCTAAAATAGAAACTATCAATGCATAGCAGTGCACTGACATGCTAGTTTTCTCTGCAACACCCAAAATGTTTTCTCTTGTTAACTTTAACATAGACAAAACATCAAAGTGAATACCTGACATACATACAGTTCTTTTAAACAGTCAATGAGATAAGTTTAAAGGTACACTAAAACATAGTAATGATCCCAATGTTGTAAAATATATAATATGCAAAGGCTAAGGTCTGTTCTGGATTATGAGTACAAATTATTTTTTATTTAAAATTTTCCAGAACTGAATATAATTTTTATAACTAGAAAAAAATGTTTAAATAAACAATTTCTTTTTAAACAACAAATGGGAACCTGAAGTTTGGTTTTAATATCTTTAAATCACTTTAACTTTTTTTTTTAATATTTTTTTCCCAGTCTGTGGCTTGTCTTTTTATTCTCTAAACCATAGACAATTTTTCTTTTTTTTTAATTAATTAATTAATTTTATTTTTGGCTGCCTTGGGTCTTCGTTGCTGTGCACGGGCCTTCTCTAATTGCGGCGAGTGGGGGCTACTCTTCATTGAGGTGCGCAAGCTTCTCATTGCTGTGGCTTCTCTTGTTGGGGAGTGCGGGCTCTAGGCGCGCAGGCTTCAGTAGTTGTGGCATGCAGGCTCAGTAGTCGTGGCGCACGGGCTTAGTGGCTCTGAGGCATGTGGAATCTTCCAGGACCAGAGCTCTAACCCACATCTGAGCGTTGGCAGGAGGATTCTTAACCACTGTGCCACCAGGGAAGTCCCTAATCACTTTAACTTTTATTAGCAGGTGAAAAATGGAGATTAAGAAATTACAGATATTTAAAATCATGACTACCAATTATAAATTCTTAAAAAGTGTTGCCTAAAATTCTTTTTAGCAGAAAACCAGCAAAGTTAAAGGGAACAAACTAAATCTAAATATTAATTAAAATCAGGGAATTCCCTGATGGTCCAGTGCTTAGGACTTCGCACTTCCGCTGCAGGGGGCACAGGTTTGATCCCTGGTCAGAGAACTAAGATCCCACAAGCCACATGGCGTGGCCAAAAAAATAATAATAATTAAAATTAAAAAGCAGTTATGGGGCTTCCCTGGTGGTGCAATGGTTGAGAGTCCACCTGCCGATGCAGGGGACACGGGTTCGTGACCCAGTCCGGGAAGATCCCACATGCCGCGGAGCAGCTGGGCCCGTGAGCCATGGCCGCTGAGCCTGCGCGTCCGGAGCCTGTGCTCCACAACGGGAGAGGCCACAACAGTGAGAGGCCCGTGTACCACAAAAAAAAAAAAAAAAAAGCAGTTATGAACCAATAGAAGATTTGGGGGCAACTGGTCAGCTATCTGGAGAAAAGTAAAGTTGGATCCATAGCTGATCTCTTACATCAGGACAAATTCCAAATGAATTAAAAGTTTAATTATTTAATTTAATTTAAATTAATTAAAATTCCTAAACTATAGTGTATTACTTTAGTAGAATCAAGCACAGAAAATTTTTAGAACCTCAGTGTAAAAAAGGCCTTTCTAACTGTGGTATAAAACCCAGAATCCATAAGAGTAAAAACTGATAAATCTGACTTATATAAACATCAAGAACTTCTAGATGGCAAAAACCACCATAAGCAAGACAAACTGGGGAAATTTTGCTGTTCTTAATACAGAAAGAGGGGGACTTCCCTGGTGGTGCAGTGGTTGAGAATCCGCCTGTCAATGCAGAGGACATGGGTTCGATCCCTGGTCCAGGAAGATCCCACATGCCATGGAGCAACTAACCCCGTGCACAACTACTGAGCCTGCGCCCTAGAGCCCGCGAGCCACAACTACTGAGCCCACATGCTGCAACTACTGAAGCCCATGTGCCTAGAGCCCATGCTCCGCAACAAGAGAAGCCACCACAATGAAAAGCCTGTGCACCACAATGAAGAGTATCCCCCGCTCGCGGCAACTAGAGAAAGCCTGCACGCAGCAGCGAAGACCCAATGCAGCCAAAAAAGAAAAAAAAAAGAAGAAAAAGGGATTGATTTTCCTAATATATAAAGAGTTTCTACACATCAAAAGGAAAAGACTAATAATCCAATAGAGATGGGGCAAAGGATATGGATAGGTGGTTTACAGAAAAGAAATACAAATGGCTTTTATACACATGAAAAGATGCTCACCCTCACTCAGATGAGAAAAATGAATTAAACTTTTTCCCCTACCCATGAGATCAGCTAAAAGTTTTATAACATCATGCTTATGAGAATACAGGGAGAAAGAGGCACCCTCCTACATTCATTGCTGGTAGTAATGCAAACTGGTACAGTCCATAAAGAGGAGAAACTGATAAGAATTGAAATTACAAATGAATATACCCTTGGAAACAGCAATTCCACTTCTAAGATTTTATCTTGCACACAAACCAACACATATGTGAAATGATATTATTAACTAAAACATCGTTTATAATAGCAAAAGACTAGAAACAACCTGTTATGTCCACCAATAGCTAGTACACCCATTGAATGGAATACTGTAAGAAAGATGAGGAAGTGTTCCACACATTGATATGTAAAGAACTCTAAAGTATGTATTGTATATAACCACTTAACTAAAAAAAGGGGGAGGGTGTAATGTAGAGGCACTTGCAGGTATATGGATAAATACTTAAAGGATTTTAAAACTTACAAACATATCACCTATGAGTAGCTGGAGTACATAAACAGGACACTTTTTACTGTATAATCGTTCACACTTTATTTTTGAACCATGTGAATTTATTATGTATTCAAAAATTAATTTTTTTAAAAACATAAATGAGTAACTCACTGCCAGCAATATTAAGTATCAAAGTTAGTCTCCAAGGTGGATATTTATTTTAAGTTTAAACAATATTTTAAGATTTCAAAATTTCAACTAAAATGAATTTCAGTTCAAATACTCTTCAACTTACCAATTCCCGTGATCTCTTTTTTGATCAGTTGTAACTCCATATGTTGGATTTTTATTCTTACTAATAAGAAGTAAATTTTTCCAACAATCACATCCTTTAAATGATACCTTTGGGGAAAGAGTATTTGTCACTTACTAAATATCAGTTTACAAAACAAACAAAAAGAGTGAAATATGTCCTGAAAGGCTTTATTAGATATCTGTAGGATAATTACTATTTAAGAATACCATTCTGACCATTCATGTGTTTAATGTTCTTTTTTGAAAAAAGTACTCATCATTTTACTATAAAAATAAGGAAGCAAAGTTTACTTGACCATCGATACACCTCAGAGGGAAGAATTAGCCTGATTAATTGTTGGTCCCTACGTAGAGGTTAACTTAGTTTCCAAAGAACTTAAGCATGGAAAATTAAGATTTTTATGCCTGAAAATTTTTATTTGGTGTATGAAGATGTTTTGAACATTAAAAACTCTACACATGGGTTTAGTGTCAGTACTACTCCAAGTGCTAGAATAGTGCAGCTAACAAATCACCTGGCCACAAAGAGAGACTCCATAAATTGAGTTTGTTGCTGTAATACCTACTAATCAAAGACTTTTCCAGGGACCTTGAAATAATATGGTAGCAAACCTAGGAATTCCTGTAATTCCCAGAGGGTTTTTTTTTTTTAAACTTCTCCCAGGTTTGATCTCAAAATAATATCCCAAGAGTTGATTAATGCAATTATGTTAGTCTGAAAGGAGGCTTCCAGTGACAAGTTTTAGGTCCTAAACTATCTAATAATTTTATCAACAATATAATTTAAGACCCTGAACACGTGTGTATCACAATTTCAGTGATATAAACTGAGACATGACAAGTAATAAAAATGATGTAACAGAAGAGTGCACAGGAAGGGGACAAAAGAATGAACATCCATTTCTTCAACAATAAACTTTAGTGAAAAATAAATAAATAAAAGAGAAAACCTATAAATTAAAAGAGATTTAAGAATAAAAAAACAAATGTAGTGTGTTTGGATCCACTGGATTTGAGCAAGTCTTGTTTGGATACTGATTTGAACAAACCATATGGCGACAAAACATTTATGAGTAAATTAGGGAAAAGTGAACACTGACTAAATATGTGACGAGGTTAAGAAATTATTAATATTGTTAGATATATACTTTGGTATATGTTTGAAATTTTCCATAATAAAGCTTTAAAAGGCATTAATAAATAAAATAAGAGCCCATTTCTGAAAATGCACAACATATATAAACATATATACCCCCACCCATGGAAAGATATACATGAGGATTTAATAGTGGTTAAGTAGTAATGGTGAAAATATGTGGTATTTTTACTTCGACTTTTCTACATTGTCAATTTTTTTAATAATAAAAATGTATTGCTCATGTAGTCAGAAAAAGAGCATTTTTGCTTATTTTTAAAGAGATGACCAGCTAAAATGATCTCAAGACAAGAAGATAAATTTTTTGAGACATAGGATTAGATGCCTTCTGAGATGGTGAGATCCTCTATAAAAAATGGTCAATTACCAGGAATAGAATAATAAAGACATCTGCGCTGAGTCAGAAACAAAACTAAATTCCTAAAGTTTCTTTCAGCTCAGAGATTCTGTTGGTCTGTTAACATCAGATTAATGTTGAGTCTATCCTTACCTTGACCAATTTACAAAGACATAAAAGGTTTATTTCTTAATTTTCCCTGAACATTTATGTTATCTGTTTGTGAAAGGTACTTACTTTGATTTATTATATTCAAATTCTATGTGTAGACAATCTTCAATGCCCACTTCCATCTTAATAGAATTGTTGACATCAGGATAGGTAGCAAGCTGGTGAACAATAAGATCATATTCTTTTACCAAGTCTGTCAGTCTTCTTACTATCGTCACTTTAAGGAAATACCTACAAAATTAATGGAGAGGACAAGTTAAATCTCCTGTGATATATCTCAGTGTTTTAAATAAGCAAACATTAACTGCAACTCTGCTTTCTCCTTGCTGGAACTCCTTAGGGATCAATTTACTCCATTTACTTCATGAAGAAGTTTTAATTTTTAAATAAATGCCCCCACCATAGAAAAAATACAAAGTTCCATTTTAAGAATAGTGTACATACTTTTTAGATCAATTTGAAGCACCATCATCAAGCCTACTTGAGGACATCTCTCTAGATCACTGCTTTTTGTTTGTTTTTTCTTTTTTTCTAGATCACTTCTTAACCATACACTAAATGAGATTCATTGGGAAACTAATGGATTTAGAGAGTAATTCCATTTACAGGACAAATGAAGTACCTAAGAACGATTCATACAGGGAAGTGTATGACTAAAACTTCTCATAATAGGATTCTCTAAAACTACAGAAGGCTCTTACTACATCAGATGAGCATTAGCCAGAAAAAAAAAAAAAATTTGACAGAATTTAAAAAATCTTAAGCCTTCCAGTCCAAAATTATAATTAGAAGTTCTAATAAGACATTCAATAGTAGTCATTACTTTCTGGTTTTGATTCTGTCTACAGTTTCTGATACACGTTCATACCTTAAACGGACATTGGCACCGATGTAAGATTCATATGGCTTTTCAACTTGCATAAATTCAAAATCATAACTTCTGCTCTGAGTCAGTTCTCCAGGTAAGGCTAGTTCTTTCACTAGGTTTACAAATTCGTGAGTATTACTCTTGTCATTGAAAAGTTCTAAGAAATTTTAAAAAGCAAAAAGACCAATTATATTTAATACCCATCTCATTAAAACTCAAACTTCTACTTCCAAAGCAAATGATTTTTACAAAAAGAATTAGTTGGATTTGTCTCCACTTTAAATACTAGAGCTATGATCTGAATTCCATTATCTTTCTCACTATTATGCTCCCCTTAGGCATAAAAAAATTCAAGCAGCATAGCAAAATGAAAATTTCAATTATAAAAAAATGAATTCATTCCTTTAATGCATTTAGGGTTTGCCCAGTATGAAGCTGTTTTAACAGACATATTTCCAGCAATTATTTGAACTTCCTCCCTTCTAGGCAAAAAATGTATTGTCTTGTTTTGCTTTAGTTAGGCAAATATATTACCTTGATAAAACTATAATACGCAAAAGACTAAAATCAACTATCAGTTAATTACTATAATTTGCCCCTTAAATATAATCTCATCCAAAATAGACATGTAAATAAATATCCACCCATTCCAATTTTGATACTTTAAAAATGTACAGTAAAACTTAGAAAGCTAGAACCTATTTTCTTTTCTCTTTTCCGAATCTGCAGTACCAAAAGATTTATACAGTTTAACTCCTACTAAATCAAGAATGTCTCTGAAATACACAAATGGAAACATACACAAGTTGATCTAAGTCAAAAAGAAATTACACTTTTCCTTTTCACATGGAATTTTCTATTGACAAGTGAGTCTGGCTACAGGTACACACTAAGTTAGGAAGACAAATGGCATGGGTAATTAGAAAGAAGGATGAAGGTGACACTGCTAATTGTGAATAAACCTGGTGAAAAATGTAGGCAGATGGAAATTTCAGTGAGTAAACTAATTTACTTGAATTATTTTTCAAGGCTGGTAGCTTACATAAATCCTTTCACTTTTAGTAATTAAGTTTAATCACAAATAAAGGCAGGATTAGTCAAATATCATTTAATACAATTAAAAGAAACATGATTTAATGTTTATAAAATAAATCCTCTTTTATTACGCAAAATCAATTCCTTCTTTCCATAAAGCAAAGTGCCAAATCAAACTCTCTTCAAACTCAGTTATCAAAGAAAAAAAAAGTAATACTATTTTAAAACTCACCAATTTGACCTACAAATTCAATTCTAATTCCTTGGTGCTCTAGCCTCTTTCCAGATTGCTTAAAGGCTATGTTTACCTGCCAAAACATGAAATTGTAAGAGATGTTAACAATCCTTTGCGGGCCTACTAGCAGATTGCTTCCAGATGAATACAATGTATAAATATTTCAGGTATTCATTTCTGAAGTCTGAGACACCACCACATACCTAGATCCTACCTAGACCTTATAGCGCCAGAGAAGGTAAAACCTACTCATATACAATCAGTAATGAACCTCTTACTTATACGTACACTTAAAGCATCCTCTTTGTTAGTAAGGAATCCTTCTTTACAGCTGGAGAACTATAAAGACTCAATAAAAGGGAAAACTTTCAACTATTCAAATATGTTTTCAGGTCAAATAGTTAAAAAATTCTACAACAGCATTTTAATGTAAGGTTATTACTAATTCCAAGAACTGATCTTAAAGATCACTTTCAGCCTTTTATAACCAACAATATATTGTTATAATTCCTGATCTTAAAAGCAATGCTTATTGCCCTGAGTCTGCTACTCATCCTAAAAACAGAATGTCTAAAGATTTAAATTTTGAGTATGATTATCTTACGTACTTTTCAAATTAAATATATAATCTAAAATCCCTAAATTCATATGTGCCAAATGGAAACCTTAATTTTAAACATTTTAATTTGACAAAATATCTATAAAGTACATACATATTAAAAACAAAACTCAAAACATTTAAGGATTAGCTAACATACCAAAAAGCACACTTCCGGATTTATTCTTTACTATAAAAAATATGGGCAGCATGACTCTTAAAAGCTTTTCTTCCAAATAGTGTTTTCAAAAGACAACAGAAATTAAGGACCAATAAAAACCGAAGTTCAGTTACTTCTGTCTGTAAACTACATAATTAAAATATTCATGCTTCTATATCTTCCATATATCTGTGACCAGGATGAGTTAGTTACTTGCCTTCCAAATTAATATCACAGAAAAACAAGTAAATAATTAAACAAATTGCAGTACATCATATGATGGAGTATAATTAAAGTATAAAAATAATAAGGTCAAAGAATATTTAATGATGTGGGAAGATGTGCATGGTATGTCACATGAAGGAAGCATGGTCAAACTGTATACAAGTATAATGCCAATTATATTTTTTAAACTACAGAAAAAACTCTTAACAGGAGTTACTTCTGGAATGTATGCTTATGGGTAATTTTGTTTCCTTCTCTGTAGCTTTTTTTGACAGACGGCAATTAAATTTAACTTTAAAAAGTATATGCTTCAGGAGTCCCAAGACAATTCAATGGGGAAAGAATATTCTTTTCAACAAATAATGCTGGAACAACTCAATCTCAACATACAAAAAAATGAAATTGGATCCCTACCTTGCACCATATACAAATATTAACTCAAAATGGATAAAAGACCTAAATGTAAGAGCTACAGTTACAAAACTCTTAGAAGAAAACATAGGTGTAAATCTTCATTATCTTGGATAGGCAACTGTTTCTCAGATGACACCAAAAGCATGAGAAATGAAATTTTAAAAAAGATAAACTGGACATCATCAAATAGAAAATTTTAGTACTTCAAGACACCACCAAGAAAGTGAAAAGACAACTCACAGAAATAGAGAAAATATTTGCAAAACATAACTGACAAAAGACTTGTATCTAGAGTATATAAAGAACTCTTACAACTCAACAATCAAAAGACAAATAACCCGATTAAAAATGGTCAAAGGATATATACAGACTTTTCTCCAAAAGAGTTATACAAACAGCAATAAGCACATGAAAAGATGCTCAATATTATTCATCATTAGGGGAAATGCATATCAAAACCATTATGACCACTTCTCACCCACTAAGATGGCAATAAAAATACAGACAATAATAAGTATTGCCAAGAATGTGAAGAAACTGGAACCCTCATACATTGCTGAAGAGAATATAAAATGGTGCAGCTGCATTGGAAAAGCCTGGCAGTTCCCTTAAAAGTTAAACATAGAGTTAACGTATGACCCAGCAATTCCATTCCTAAGTATACACACCAGAGAAATGAAAACACACAGTCACACAAAAACTTAACACACAAATGTACAGCAATATTCATAACAGTCAACAAATAGAAACCCAAATATCCTCAACTGAAATGTCCTCAACTGATGAATGGATGAAGTGTGGTACATCCATATACTACACAGATATATACTGAAATATTATTCCGCTATAGAAAAGAATGGTGTTTTGATACATGCTGCAACATGAATGAACCTTGAAAACATTATGCTACATGAAATGAGGCAGACACAAAAAGACAAATCTTATATGACCACTTATATGAAATAGAACAGGCCCAGAACAGGCAAATTTAGATTTTTTTTTTTTTTTTTTTTTTAGAACAGGCAAATTTATAGGAAAAAAAGTAGACTAGAGGGACTTACTTCCCTGGTGGAGCAGTGGTTAAGAATCCGCCTGCCAATGCAGGAGACACCAGTTTGAGCCCTGGTCCAGGAAGATCCCACATGCACGCAGCAACCCCGTGTGCCACAACTACTGAGCCTGCACTCTAGAGCCCGTGAGCCACAACTACTGAGCCTGCATGCCACAACTACTGAAGTCCATGCACCTAGAGCCCGTGCACCACAAGAGAAGCCACCACAAAAAAAAAAAAAAAAGAAGCCACCACAATGAGAAGCCCACGCACAGCAACAGAGAGTAGCCCCCCCTCGCCGCAACTACAGAAAGCCTGTGAGCAGCAATGAAGACCCAACGCAGCCAAAAATAAATAAATAAACTTATTTTTTTAAAAAAAGTAGGCTAGAGGTATCCATGGACTGGGAGAAAAGGGAAAAGAGTAGTTATTGCTTGATGGGTACAAAGTTTCTGTTTGGGGTGATGAACAAATTTTTAAAATAGTGGTGATGGGGGCTTCCCTGGTGGCACAGTGGTTGAGAATCCACCTGCCAATGCAGGGGACACGGGTATGAGCCCTGGTCCAGGAAGATCCCACGTGCCGCGGAGCAACTAAGCCCGTGTGCCACAACTACTGAGCCTGCGCTCTAGAGTCCGGGAGCCACAACTACTGAGCCCACGTGCTACAACTACTGAAGTGCTACAACTACTGAAGCCCATGCGCCCTAGAGCCCTTGCTCTGCCACAAGAGAAGCCGCTGCAATGAGAAGGCCATGCACTGCATCGAAAAGGAGGCCCTGCTCCACAACTAGAGAGAGCCTGAGCACAGCAACGAAGACCCAATACAGCCAAAAATAAATAAATAAAATAAATTTATAAAAAAAAATAATGGTGATGATTACACAACACTGTGAATGTGATTAATGCCACTGAATTAGACACATAAAAATGGTTAATATGGTAAATTTTATTATATATATATATATTTTTGTTTGTTTTGTTTTTTTTGTTTTTTTTTTATTATATATATTTTTTACCAAAATTTTTTTAAAAAGGAATAAACCTTGAAGACATCACGCTGAGTAAAAGCAGCCAAACACAAAAGGCCACATATTTTATGATTCCATTTATATGAAATGTCCAGAATAGGCAAATCCACAGAGAAAGAAAGCACATTTATAGATTAGTGGATGCCAGGTGTCTTAGTCCATTCGGGCTGCTATGACAAAATACCATAGACTAGGTGGCTTAAAAACAACATAAATTTATTGCTTACACTTCTGGAGGCTGTGAAGTTCAAGATCAAAGCGCCAGGAGATTTGGTGTCCGGGGAGGGCTTGCTTTCTGGTTCACAGACGGCTGTCTTTTCACTATGTCCTCACATGTCAGAAGGTGCACATGGGATTTCTCTGAGGACACTAATCCCATTCATGAGGGCTCTGCCCTCATGACCTAATCATCTCCCAACCCCCCCCCCAGCCCCACCCCCCCAATATATCACACTGGGGATTAGGTTTCAACACATGAATCTTATAAGGACACAAACATTCAGTTTATGGCACCAAGGGAGTTACTGCTAATGGTATGGTGTTTCTTCTGGGGTGATGAAAACATTATGGAATTAGATAGTGGTGACAGTTGCACAACTCTGCAAATACAGTAAAAACCTCTGAACTGTACACTTTAGTAGGGTGAATTTTATGGTATGTGAATTACAACTCAATAAAGCTATCTTTAAAAAAAATGAAAAAAATAAAAAATGAAAGTATATGTCACAAATAAACCAATGGAACAGAACAGAGATGTTGAAACAGACTCATACAACCTCTGGCTGATGACAAAGGTGATGCTGCAGTGTAGTGGGGGAAAGGATGGCTTTTTCAATAAATGTCCTGGGTTAATAAGATATCCATGTGGGGAAAAAACAAACAAACAAACAAGTAGCCTTGACTCCTATATCACAAAGACAAAATCAATTCCAAAAAACTGAAGATCTAAATGTGAAATGTAAAATTGTTTTAAATTATAGGAAAAACAGGAGAACATCTTCATGCCCATACGGTAGGCAAAGATATCTTAAACAGGTTACAAAAAGCACTAACATTTGTAGAGTATTAAAATTAAGAACTCCTGTTCATCCAACGATACCATTAAGATAGAGAAAAATCCAGCCAGAAAGATATTTATAATACATATGCAAAGGACTCTATATTGAGAAGCACGTATCAAGAACATACCAAAAAAAAAAAAAAATCCTACACATCAATAAGAAAAAAAGTCAACTGAGTATAAAAATGAGCCCAAAAAACTCCCCACCAAAACCCAAAGCCTCGAATAGGCATTTCACAAAGGACATCAAATAGCCAATAAATAGATGAACAGTCACTCAACCTCATTAGATGTCAGGGAAATGGAAATTTACACATGTAGCGAGAAAATGAGAAGCTAAGACGACAAGCCATAAACTGGGAGAAAATATTTGCAGAAGCCACATCTGAGAAAGGGCTGTTTTCCAAAAAGGGCTGTTTCCAACTCTTAAAACTCAATAAGAAGAAAACAAACAACCCGAATGAAAATTAGGCAAAAGATTTGAACAAGCACTTCACCAAAAAAGATATATATTTGAAGATAAACATATGAAAAGATGTTCAACATCATATTATTAGGGAACTGCAAATTAAAACAATGAGATACCACTACAAAACTATTAGAATGGGCAAAATCTAGAACACTGACATCATCAAATGCTAGCTAGAATGTGGTACAACAGGAACTCTCATTCATTGCTGAAAATGGTAGTGCTACTTTGGAAAATAGTTTGGCAGTTTCTTACAGAACCAACACTATTTCCTTTCCTTTACTCGTTTGACATGTTCCATCCTTTTAATGATTTTGTCTGCTCTCTTCCAGGCCTCTTCTCTTTCTCCCCATCATTTTAAAGGGAGAGTAAAGTAGAAAAGCAAAAAATTTATTTCAAATATAACACTAAGACATCAGTAAGTAAACTGGCAAAGGACCAGAATAGACGATGCAGTAAAATAGCTAATAAACCTAAGTTCAACCTATCTAGTAACCAAAGAAATGCTATCAAAGAATAATATCATTTTTGCCTATAGAAATAGCAAAGATTAAAAAGTGACCATATTCAGTACTACCCTGAGTGAAACAAGGCATTAAATGAACATGTGATTTGATGCAAATTCTCCAGGTTAATATGTATTGATACCCTTCAAATATTCATGTCTTTTGGTCCAGCAACTCACTTCCAGGAATTCATTCTAAGGAAGTAATCTTATCCTACAGAAATTTGGAGAAAAACTTATGTACTAAAGTTTTATTACTAAAAACATGCCTGTATTACTAAAGATACAGTGATATACTACAAGCAGTCTGAAAAATACAGTAGAAACTATTTAAATATCCAATAATAGGGAAAAGTTATGCTTAATATATTATACATACATTAACTAATGCAGAGAGACTAGGAGGAAACACATTCAAATTTTAACAGTGAATTATTTCCATATGATGGGAATATAGATAATTATTTTATTTCCCAAACTATCTACCATGTGTATGTATCACCTTAACAAGCAGGGGAGAGAAACTCTTAATATTTCAAAAATATTGAAAATAATTGAAAAATTATTTCAAATGTTTTATGACTTGATTTTATCTAGGATATTACCATTCTTCAGTATCACAAACTAATGAGTACTAATCATGTTCCATAAGGTATAAGAATAATCTTATACATCACTTGGTAAGGAAAAGGAGGAAAAAGTTAAACCACAGAAGGTATCATAAATGTATCTGGCCATGCATGGACACGTTCCAAATGTACTTAAGTCCTCTACAGAGTATCAAGAAATGAGATCAACAGACACAATGACAGTAGTACAGACAGATAAGCTATAAAGAATGAGAAAGAAACTTTTAGAAAGGTATACTAGAGAATTATCCCCAATCTCCACAACTCAACTTTATGTTAAAGGAGAAACAAACTTTGAGGGGATCACAGCCCCACTGTAGAAAGTGTCTGAAGTTAAACAGATGCACATAGTCACAAACACACAAAATTTTCCACACAGTTTAATTTAGACTCTGCCCCTGTAACCCTTCCAGTTTAAGAATCTTTCCTGTAAATGTTCTATTGAATCAAGGATTTAACTGACCTTCTGAAAAAAATTTTCCATCTCTAATAAAATCATTCAAATTTAGATACAGCACAAGCCATTCTCATGACTAATTCTAATACGTTACAACTAGGTAATTCTCCAAACAAAATATTTACCTTCCCTGAAACAGATTCTCCATCATAGAAAAGATAGTGTTTTTCTACTTTGCCATCCTCAGTTTTCATTTCTGCCATTTTCCTGGTTTCCCCATCATTAAGGACAACATCGATCTCACAAATGGGACCAAAAAATCCTCCAAGAAAACTCTGAAATAAAAGGAAAATGTTCATAATTACGTTTTGTCAGTCACTACATTTCTAAATTCAAATTTAATTACCTATAACCTACAGTTAATCTATGAATTCACAAGGAAATAACAACTTATATCAAATACTACATCAAAACTAAAATTTCATACAATATGCATACAGTTAATGCTGTACTGTATGCTTAAAATTTTGCTGAGGATATATTTGTTATATGTTTTCTACCACAATAAAATTAAAAGACAAAAAAGAAAACAAATTTAAACACGCTATAATTTCAATCATTTCCATAGGTAACCACTATAAATAATCAAATAGTAACATATACCAAAGATCTAAAAGGACTACCCCAGTGGTCCAGTGGTTAAGACTCCCCACTTCCACTACAGGGGATACAGGTTCAATCCCTGGTTGGGGAAGTTCTGCATGCATGCCGCGGGGCTAAAAAATTAATCCTAACATCTGGATTTGAAAGGTTACCTTTAGTAATATATCTATGAGGTTCTTTCATTATACTGCTATAATTAAACTCATACAATCCCAATTACTCATGAGTTATTACAATGTACTAGTTATGGTAAAATCTACTGCTATATAGGTCTGAACAGCATGTGTTACACTGTGTAAGCCCTTAGAATAAAACTGGCTCTAATGGAGGAGACTAATTAAATTTCTGCAAATTTTGTGAATACCCAAAAGAAGTGAGCTAAAACTAGGCATGTTTGGTAAGACCAGCCCTCCCGCAGGAAGTTAGTATTGGTGCAGTAGCAAAATCTAGAGCAAGGAACTTGCGTTAAGGCTCAGTTCTGTCCTCAGGAGGACAGCAAACAAGCTAATGATCCTGCTAAGGCTATGTGGGTCATAGGATGATACTATGATCAAAGGAGATAGTGTTTTCCTAAATTCTGAGCTTGCTTCTTTGTTTTTTTGGCAGTGCCACGCAGCTTGTGGGATCTTAGTTATAGAACTCGGGCCCTCAGCAGTGAACGCTCAGAGTCCTAACCACTGGACAGCCAGGGAATTCCCACTTCTTTATTTTTATTAATCCTTTATTAACAAAAGGATTATAATTTCATGAAATCAACTCAAAGAATGGCCAGATTAGTACTTATGACATACTCCAAAGACATAACCAGCAAATTTTCCTTTTGGCAAGATGTTTTAATCTTTCCTGGCAATATTATAAATGACAAACAATTTTACTTAGAAAACTATTATGAACTTAGAATGAAAAACATCAATGATAGGGCATGTGCACTGTCCCTTCCTAGTTAGCTTTCATACCCCAAGTTTTAAATTCAAAACTTGCTCAAAATGGTATACATTCTCGTGAGAGTTACAAATATGAGAATGTATAGCAGCTGAAATTCAGTTACTATTTATCAAGTATGTGCAAAGCACTGAGCCAGCAAAGCTGGGGGGGGGGCCTGCTGTGGGAGGAGCAATTATGAAAGGGTAGAACATGACAGTCCAAAATTTGGGTTATAAAATAGAAGCAGGAAAATAAAATTTAATTTTCTCATTCCCCCTTAATATTCTTAGAGCTGGTTGCAGGAAAATGAGATGTGAAAACTATAAAAATTGTTTTACAAATGAAAGGAAATATTATGGTAACTTTTCCCACATACATATACTTAACACATACAGCTGAACTGGGATTTGAAAGTTGATATTAAAAGATCAAATAATCAAAAATAAAATAAAATCAAAATTGCCACTAATTAAAATGGTATAAAACAGACTTAAAAGTCACATAAAACTTCACAATTAACAACAATTAGTAATTGTAAACAATAAGTTTTATTTTGACACTATGTAAAAATGTAAGTCTTAGGCATTAAAAATATGTAAAAATTATGTGTTATCCTCTATTATTTTCTGTATGCATGAAGTATTTCATAACTAAAAATTAAAAATGGACTTACTTTTCAACACAATCAAAACACTAAGATTGGGAGAGATCAGAAGGAATAAAAAAAGCCTAGTGTAGCATATGCAGAAAAACAAAAGGTTGATGATAAACTACAGCACTTTAACACGGTTAAGTTAATGAGGCCATGAGAATTTAGCATTGGGTTAACATCCAGTTTTTTACACCAGGACACATCAAAAATGAACTAGTCTTGGTAAAAGCCTCCAGAAAATTGTGCATGTAGATAACAGAGAGAAAAATATCTGAGAAAAAAGTTTGTCTTGTTTTCCTTCTAGAAGGAGTTGAAAGAAAGATTCTCTACCCAAAGTCTTCTAGAGTTTTTATTTCTAAAAAAAAAAACGGAAGGGATTTCCCTGGCGGTCCAGTGGTTAGGGCTCTGCGCTGTCACTGCTGAGGGCGTGGGTTCAATTTCTGGTCTAAGATTCCACAAGCCGCATGGTGTGGCCAAATAAATAAATGAAGTTTTTATTTCAAGATGTGCATCTTCTGTATTTCAAACAAAAAGTCACAAAATTAAAATCTTCTTAAAATTATTCACAATCAAATTATAATACTTCTGATATATAAAGAGGAAAAAAATGGTCAGAATGGTGAAGACCAGAAGAAGGAAAAGGAATAAAAGCTGTAAAGAGGGTGAGGATATATTAACATATACTTCTGCTGAAATTACAGAAGGCAGTTTTGAAATCATTTACGAGAAAGACTACCAAGTTCTTTTAGAAAAGATATCTTCAAGTGAGCATTCAAAATAGGGGATTTTCAGCAGCAATACTAGACAATATACAGGTTCAAACTCTTAGGTGGCCTTTAAATAACTAGAGGGCAATATATATGACTACTTAAATATTAGAGCAATTGTTCTCACAGTTTTCCAATCGTAGCGTAAACTACATATCACTGAATTTAGCTTAATTTAAGATTTTTCACATAATTTGTAAACCTAACACTGAGCATTACCATCTAGCAAAATTACACGTGTATATGTTAAAATACAAACTTTTTAGCCCTCACTGAAGAAATTTCACTACATCCAGTGGCTGTAAAGAAATGCAACTCAAGGTGAGGCAGAAGAGAGGCTCTCAAAATTTATTCACTTAGGGCATACACGAACAATGAAACAGCAAATTTTCATACATATATTATTACACTTGTGCCCATTTCAGTGTTATAAAGCTTTACAATTGTGTTTGTTTCAAGAGTAACTTGAAAATAAAAATTGCTCTTGAACATAATTCAAAAGCTCATTAAAAGTAATAATTTTAAATGTAAGCAAAAGATAGGAGGGCCTTTTAAGTTTTCTTTGCAAATTATATTCAACTAAAGAAGCCTTCTTTAACTCCCTGACAAGGCAAGGTCCCCCAATACTTCCTTCTTATCACAACTGTAATTATTTGTTTCCACGTTAAAGAAATAATTACACAAATAAATGTTTATCTCCCTCTGGATTGCAAGCTACAAGAGAGCAAGGGCTGTTTCAGTCTTGCTCAGGGCCCCTGGGAGCACCTAAGTATTGTAATTATTTGTTTAAAAGAAAGAGGAAAAGGTTCCAAGTTTAAGAATGAACATGTCTGTCCTCTCTTTTATAAATTAAAACAACTCGATTTCTGACTTTAAATGTATTTATTCAAAGTAACTTTTTTTTTTTTTTTTTAAATAAACCTAGCTTGGTCTATAAGCCAAAAGTCTCAAGCAGTTTACGGAACCGGGTGAGCTTTGGGAAAGCAGGTACTATTAAGGAGAGCACACAGTAGGCGCTCAACATAAGCTTGCTAAGTGAAACGAGTAAATGAATACTACCATAAAATGAGCCAAGTGAGATCAAATCTAGAGAAGATCGCCAACACACACAAAGCTAAACGCCATCGCGCCCACGCTGGTGCTTCCCACTAACTGTGGTGAGAGTACTCAGATTTCCCTCCCTCCTCTGCTCCCTAGGCCATTTCAACATCCCAAAGCGGTAAGTTTCCAGAATGGCTTGGTGAGGGAAACGAGACCTAACGCTTAAAACAGCGCGCAAGAAACTACTGCCTTTTGCATTAAAAACGTCCTCCCCTCCAACGTCCTTCTCTTTTTCTCTCCCATTCTATAACTGTCAACATCAAGGCTGAACTGGGGTCAGGAAATCGCAGAATATCACCGTATGCAGGCTAAAAAAATCACGGAGTTTATCAAGCTCCCGATCAACACTGGAAGAGAGTGACCAAGTCCCCCCGAGTCCGGAACTGGGGGATTCTTGGGTCACCCCACCTGAAAGGAAGCGAGGCTTCCCGGGAGGAGCAGAGGGGCTGGCTACCTTGGAAGGGGAGGGGGAGGCGGGCCCCCGCGGAGGCGGGGTCCGAGTACCCAGCCAGGGCCCCCACAGCCGATCGAGGAACTCGGGTAGAGGCTCCGACATGGCCAGGAGAACGCGCCGCCACCCGCAGGTGCTCGGGCATCGCCGAGACCGGGAAAGGGCGGCGCAGCCCAATAGTCTCCGACCCCGCGGCGGCCAAACAGGCCTAACCCGGCCCCCCCGCCCTGCCCGCCTGCCCCCTCCAGCCGCTCCCCGCAGCCCCTCTCGCGACATCTGGCCCGCCGTTGGCCGTCCCACCGCGCGCTCCGGGGCGAGGGCTGCAAGCGAGCGCGCTGGCCGCCGCGCACTCACCATTGTCATCGCCGCCGCCGCGTGCCCCACACTTCACTCCTCTTCCCTCAGGAGAACTCCCAGCCCCGGCTCCCTCCGCCCAGCGTCTTCGTCACGTGACTTCGGGCAGCTCGCCGCACGTGACCCCTCCCTTCCCTTCCTCCCCTTCGCCCAGCACTGGCCCCCTCCGGGCCTCTAGCCCCGCCCCACTGGTCAGCCTGGCGCTCCGAGGAGAGGCCGTTTGGAGGCGGGGCCTCGTGCTCCACCCCACGGCGGAGGGGTGGGGTCACTGAGTGGCGTCAAGTGGGTGGGGCCAGGGCGGACGTAGGTTCCCCAGGTCCGCCGCGCCCTCTTGTCTGTCACGTGAGGGGCGGTTCGCTGACCGGCGGTTCGCTGACGGGCTTTTTGCCACACCCAGTTCCACTTCTAGTGGAAGTTTGAACAGCTGGGAAAGAAGAAAGGAGGAAAGAAAAGGTTCGTGCGGGAGGCCATCTCTGCGGGTGGGTTACTAGGCCGAGGAGTTGAAGGGCCGCTGTTACCCGAGGCCCTGATTCGTTAGGCCTCGCGAGAGACGTGCTCTCTCAATTCGGGGATGAGGCATTCTGCCACCATTCTCGAACTCTACCCAACTTCCTTTCTTTCCCTCAGCTTCTGAGATTTGAGAACTCAGAAGCTTTGTCACCTATGAGGAGACCAAAAACAAAAAAGGGTACTGTATCCGTTGCCTCGTAAAGTACACAGATAGTTCCTGAGCTATCCACCCCTTAGCTGTGGAGGACTGAGAAATCACTTGTACCGCCCTGCCATTCCGTGAGGGGTGGAAGGCGTTCCTGAAAAGCGCAATGATGCTGCTCAGAAATACTCTGTCTTGGGCTTCCCTGGTGGCGTAGTGGTTGAGAGTCCGCCGTGCCTCGGTCCGGGAAGATCCCACATGCCACAGAGCGGCTGGGCCCGTGAGCCATGGCCGCTGAGCCTGCGCGTGCGGAGCCTGTGCTCCGCGACGGGAGAGGCCACAACGGTGAGAGGCCCGCGTACCGCAAAAAAAAAAAAAAAGTACTCTGTCTTTAACCGCAGCCTAATCACTGTGGTGTAAGCCTAGAGGACGGGCCCCTGAATGGAATACTGTTTTTTTTTTTTCTTTTTTTTTAACACCTTTATTGGAGTATAATTGCTTTACAGTGGTGTGTTAGGAATACTGTTTTAAGATCTCAAAACTTAGCGTTGAGCCACCGCAGTAGACTATACATAACCAAAGCAGAAAAAAATGAGTCTGAACCTACCGGTTTTCCCATCATAACAAAACAGCATCAAGTTTGTGAGGCAAGGTCTTAAAGCGAGTCTCAAATTTAAAAGGCTTGAAATTAGAGTTTGGTCTCTAACCACATTAGAATTGAACTAGAAATAACAAAAAGCCAGAAAATCCACAAATGTTTGGAAGGTGAGCAACATAATTCTAAACCTCTATGTCAAAGAATATTTCAGTGGGAATTTTTATATAGTTTGAACTAAAGGATAATGAAAATACAACATAGTAGAATTAATGGGATGCAGTGAGCAGTGTTTAGAGGGAGATCTGTAGCATTAAATGCATGTATTTGAAAAGAAGAAAGGTTTAAAATCTGCAATCTGTGTTCGCCTCGGGAAGTTAAAAGCATATTTAGCATGTGGAGGGGAGCAGAGGATACATGGGAATTCTGTACTTGCTATGAACCTAAAACTGCTCTGAAAAATAAAGTCTATTTAAAAAATAAAAAGCGCTCACATACATGGTCAAATGATCTTTGGCAAAGGTGCAATGATGACTCAATGGGGAAAGGACAGCCTCTTCAACAAATGGTTTTGGGAAAACTGGGTATCTATGTGCAAAAGAATGAATTTGGACCATTATCTTATACCATATACAAAAATTAACTCAAAATGGATTAAAGACTTAAACATCAGACCTAAAACTATAAAACTCCTAGAAGAAAACATAGGGGAAAATCTTCAGGTCATTGCTCTTGGTAATGATTTCTTGTTTATGACACCAAAAGCACAGGCAACAAAAGCAAAGATAGACAAATGGGGCTACATCAAACTTAAAAACTTCCATTGCAGGGGGCACAGGGAACTAAGAGTCCCACATGCCCCACTGTGCAGCCAAAAATAAAAAATAAAAAAAACTTTTGTGCATCAAAGGACACAGCAGAGTGAAAAGGCAGCCTATGGAATGGAGAAAATATTTGCAAATCATATATGTGATAAGATACCCAGAATATCTAAAGAACTCTTACAACTCAGTAACAAAAAAATCAAACTGATTAAACAGTCCAACAAGCATATGGAAAGATACTCAGCATCACTAATCATCAGAGAACTGCACGTCAAAACCACAAGATGTCGACTCACACTCATTAGGATGGTTAATATTTGGAAAAAAGAAAATAACAAGTGTAGGTGAAGATGTGGAGAAATCAGAACCCTTATGCACCGTTGGTGAGATTGCAAAATGGTACAGCCCCTGTGGAAAGCAGTATGGAGGTTCTTCAAAAAAGTGAGAATGGGACTACCGCATGATATAGCAATCCCAGTTCTGGGTGAATATCCAAAAGAATTGAGAGTAGGGTCTCAAAGAGGTATTTGCATACTCACGTTCACAGCACATATGAATGTTCCTGTTCGTTCATAATAGTCAAGAGATAGAAGCAACACAAGTGTTCATGGACAGATGAATTTTAATCTTTGAAAGGAGGAAAATCCTGTCATATGCATAGATGAATCCTGTCATACAACATAGATGAAACTTGAGGACATTATGCTAAGTGAAATAAACCAGTCACAGGACTTCCTTGGTGGCCCAGAGGTTAGGACTCCACACTTCCACTGCAGGGGACACGAGTTTGATACCTGGTCAGGGAAAAAAGATCCTGCATGCCTCATGGTGGAGCCAAAAAAAGAAATAAACCAGTCACAAAAAGACAAATACTGTATGATTCTACTTATATGAGTTACCTAAAGTAGTCAAATTCATAAAACAGAAAATAGGATGCCGGTTACTAGAGATTTGAGGGGAGGAGAAAGGGGAGTTGCTGAAACAGAGTTTCAGATTGCAAGATGAAAACGTTCTGGAGGTCTGTTTTACAGCACTGTGAAAATAGTTAACACTGCTGAGCTGTATACTTAAAAATTGTTAAAATGGTATATTTTATGTGTTTTGTTACCCCACACACACAAAGCAAATTAAACTCTAAGAAAGTAGAAGGAAGGAAAACAAAAAAATCCTAAAGTTTATAAAGCAGAAATTGCTGTGAAAACAGTGATCTGTGGATTAGCCCTACACTATGGTTAAATGTGCTTTTTTGTGTACGTGGGACAACATCTTTATACATGTTTTAAAGTTTATCTCTATTATTGCTGATGCTCAGGTCAGCATTATAATGTATAGATAAAATATATAAAAATAAGAAATCACTATGTTCTTTACGTGAAACTAATACTGTAAGTCAATTGTACTTCAACAAACAGGAAAAAGTGGAAATACTTTTCCATTTTTCATTAGGATGTTTGTCTTATTATTGAGTTTATTAATATTTTGGATACAAGTCCTGTATCATATATTAATTGCAAATATTTTTCCCAGTGTGTAGCTTCACTATTTATTCTCTTAATAATGTTTTTGGATGACCTGAGAATTTTGGCTTTTACATTTAGGCATGTGATTCATCTTGATTTAAATTTTGCAAATAATGTGAGGTGAGATTTGAGGGCTTATTTTTGTCCACATGGTTCCAGCACCATTTGTTGAAAATAATTTCCTTTCCCCATTAAATTGCTTTGGAGCCTTTGTCAAAAATCTATTGACTATATAATTATGGATTTATTTCTGGACTTTTAATTCTGTCTCATTGATCTGTTTGTCTATCTTTATACAAACCACATTGTCATGATTACTATAGATTTATAGTAAGCCTTGAAAGTAAGGAAGTGTAGTTACTCCAAATTAGTTCTTTTTCAAGAATGTTTTGGTTCTAAGATTTTTGTGTTTCCATATAAATTTTTGAATTGTTAATCCACTTTTTTTTAAGCTGCTGTGATCTTTATTGGAATTGATTGAGCTCTATTTGAGGAAAATTGACATCTTAACAATACTGAGCTTTGCAATCCATGAACATGGTATATTTCTCTATTTATTAAGGTCTTTTTAAATTTCTGTCAGCAATGCTTTGTAATTTTCAGTGTAGAAAGCTTACACATCTTTTGTTAAATTTATTCCTAAGCATTTATATTTTTAATAATATTGTAAATGGAATTTTAAAATTTCATTTTCCAGTTGTTCAATGCTTGAATGTGTGTGTGTGTGTGTGTGTGTGTGTGTGTGAGAGAGAGAGAGAGAGAGAGAGAGAGAGATTGCCTTTCTATGTTGACTTTATAACTTACAACCTTGTTAAATTTCTTTGATAATGTCCTCCCTTCTCTTTTCTCTCCTCTTTTCCTGAGTCTTCTATTAGTCATATTGGGGCTTCCCGATTGATTTTGTCATTTTCTTACTTTTTCTTTCCTATTTTCCATCTACTTGTGTTTTGGTTCTCCTTTCTAGGTGATTTTCCCTGATTTTATGTTACAGCTCTTAGAACTTTTTTTATTACTGTGTTATGGTAAACAGCTTCTAAGATGCTCTCCAACGATCCATATCTCTGTGTACTCCCTTCTCAAATTCTATCAAGGTTGGTCTGTATGACCAACAGAGTAAGGTGGAAGTGATGATGTATGACTTAATAAGCTTGCTTCTGACTTGCTCTTTTCTGGATCAATTACTCTGAGAGAAGTCAGCAGCCATGTCATGTAATCCAATGGAGAGGCCCACATAATGAGCTGAGGCCTCCTGTAAACAGCCAACACTAACTTGCCAGCCAGGTGTTTGAGCCATCTTAGAAAGGTGACCCTCCCACCCCAGTCAAGTCTTCAGATGACTGCAGCCCCAGCTAACATTCTAACTGCAATCTTATGAGGGACCCCCCCACAACCACCTAGGTAATCCACTTCCAAATTTCTGATCCATAGAAACTATGAAATAATACATGTTATTTTTTAAAATTTATTTTATTGCAGTATAGTTAATTTACAAGTTGTGTTCATTTCTGCTGTACAGCAAAGTGATTTAGTTATGCATATATGTATATTCTTTTCATATTTTTTCCCATTATGGTTTATTACAGGATATTAAATATAGTTCCCTGTGCTATACAGTAGGACCTTGTTGTTTATCCATTCTATACATAATAATTTGCATCTGCTAATCCCAAACTCCCAGTCCATCCCTCCCCTACCCCGTACTTTGACAACCACAAGTCTGTTCTCTATATCTGTGAGTCTCTTTCTGTTTCATAGATAAGTTCATTTGTGTCACATTTTAAATTTGATATATAAGTGATATCATATGATATTTCTTTCTCTGTCTGACTTACTTAGTATGATAATCTCTAGGTCCTTCCATGTTGCTGCAAATGGCATTATTTCATTCTTTTTTTAATGGCTGAGTAATATTCCATTTATATATGTACCACATCTTTTTTATCCATTCCTCTGTCGATGGACATTTAGGTTATTTCCATGTCTTGGCTATTGTGAATAGTGCTGCTATGAACATAGGGGTGCATGTATCTTTTGGAATTATAGTTTTTTTCTGGATATAAGCCCAGGAATGGGATTGCTGGATCATATGGCAACTCTATTTGAAATAATACATGTTTATTCTTGTTTTAAGCCACTAAGTTTTGAGGTAATTTATCACACAGCAATAGATAACCATTAGATGCTATTATATTTTTGATTTCCAAGAGCTCTTTCTTATTCTCTGACAGTCCCATTTTAATATCATGTTGTCCTTGTGAAGATAAAGAAACAAAAGATCCAGTAATCAACATATAAACATCTAAAAATGTAGATTTGTGCATAAATCACTGACGTAATTTCCTTTATATCAAATCACATATTAAGTGGCTGAATGATCATGATAGTAAAGTCTCTAGTTCCTATGTACCAATGATAAATGATAAATAATTACTATTCCATTATAAGGTGAGAACATAACTAATAAGACTGTAGTCCACAAATAATCATTGATTTAGTGCAGTGGTTCTCAGAGGGGCAATGGACATTTGGCAACGTCTGGAGACACTTTTGATTGTCAAGTCTGGGTGAGTGCTACTAAGATCAGAAATGCTGCTAAGCATCCTACAATGCACAGGACAGCCCCTTACAACAAAGAAATATCCTGTCCAAAATGTCAATAATGACAAGGCTGAGAAACCCTGGTTTAGTATAAACCTAAGAAGACAAACAGAATTCTGAAAGATCAATCGTATTAATATTTTAAGCAGTGATTTGAGTGGTAAAACAGACTACGTGCTGAGGGAATGGAGACAAAAAGCTTCTGCAAAATCAATCATCCCTTTCTCTTTGCTGCCTTAGCATTTTGTTTATAACTATTGTAAATTGGAAAAAAAATCTATAATGTAATGTATTACAGTTATTTATTTGTTTCCCCCCCCCACATCGTGAGTAGTCTTAACTGTTTATTCCTGGTGTCTTGGTCCTTAGTAGGTTTTTGTTGATTGTATAATATGAGAAAAAGTGACTGTGAGTTAGAGAGGTACAAAAAGTACAAATTGAAAGAAGCCCAACCCCTTCCCTTCCCTCAAACTCTATAATTATGGCAAATGATTGATAAATAGAACCCAAAAGGTAAAAGAGTAAGAGTGAGAAAGAACATGGGTTATATACTATTTCCCCTATGTGCCTAAGAATATTTACTTCTATCTATCTACCTTCCTTTGTGCCAGGCAAGACTAACATATTACATTCACTCTCACTTGATCCCTGTTAAGGCTCTAAGCTCAAGCACAAAGGCTGTCTGGTATGTCTTTGTTCCCATTTGTATCTTCAATGCCTAGCACAGTACCTGGCCATGCCAGGAATCTTTAAAACAATCTTATGAAGTAGCTATAACACATGTTCACGATTACAATTGTTTAGGGGCTTTGAGCTAATCGTATCACATGTATTGCCTCATTTAATCTTTACCACAACACTATGGGCAAATATTGTTAACCTATAGTACAGATAACAATAACAGCTTGTAAGTTTATTCATCACTCAATGACATTGTTCTAAGCACTTTACATACATTAATTTATTTAATCTCAACAAACTTATAAGGTAGTCACTATCATCATCTTCATTTTAAAGAGGAGGAAACTGAGGTACAGAGAGGTTAAATGAGTTAACTCATCTGATGTTACCTAGTTAGTAAGTGACAGCTTTGAACCCAGGTGATCTTGCTTCAGAGACCACACAATTAACCCCTTCACAACATTGCCCTCCATAGACAATGTTAGCAAAATTAAGTAACTTGCCTTAAGTTACAAAGCTAATAAAGAGTGAAATTGGTATTTAAGCCAGGACTTTGAAATTCTAAAGCTCGTACTTTTTTAAATTAGTCTAATTACCTCTCTAAAAATAGAAATATTCTACATTTTCTTTGTGGCAAGTTTAAGATCTTTCGTAGTAAAAAAAAGTGTCATTTTTTGATAAAAATTAGCCTAGACTATCTACCCCTTCTTCAAATGTGTAAAACTTATCACTTAACTAGAAAATGCAAAATAGTATGTATATTTTTCTAAACCATGCCTTATTTTTTCTGCTATGTATTTTTGGGTACCCAAAAGATAGGTCTCATGACAGTAATGTCCTACTGGGCATAAAAACTCACAAAGTTCCTGTTAAATAATCACAGATAGATTTATTAATGGAAAGATTAGGGTATAACTTAACAACTATCACCAGAAGTAAAATGCTATAAAGATAATTCCTATGAGTTGTGTCCTATGAGACGCAAACCCATAGAGGAAATTTATCAGGGAGTGTCCTTCGGATTAATGCCTGTGGAGGATTGGAAGGAAGCAGGATTAGACAGGAATAAACCGAGCTGCAATGGAATCACAATATGGTGTCTTCGTGTGACACCATAGAGAGTTCTGAAGCAGTTGTCCCTTCAGAGTTGTCCCACGTGGAGCATGAGGTCTGAACCTTTATACCCCCACATACATGAGTCTTTGGCTGTGAGCTGTCCTGGGAAAGGAGCATGACCTTAGATGATGTGGCTTCTTCATCTAAGTTGTAGCTATCAGCCAACCTTCCCAGTAGCTGGAGGAATAAGTCCTCCAGTTCTAAAGGGGGAATCTGGGCAACACAGTACAGCACAGCATCCATAACAGTCCACCTTTGTGCCTCTTAGATCCATTTGCTTCATATACATTCTGGAAGCAGCTTTTTCAGGACACTGGAGGGTTCTTAGGGAAAACTTATGAGGGGAGGGTCAGTGGAATGAACTGCAGCTGCTTCTGCTGCAACTGGTAGCAAGATATAATCAAAACTCATCAAATTCCTCCTTTGTTATCAATGTAGTTTTCTCTCATCCGTAGCTAACACCACTACTGGTCTAGATGGCTTAGTTGGAGGATTGACCCAGATCTTCAACCATGAGGATCTGAGCCCCCGGTTACCATGCACTTCTCGGGCCTAACTGCTAACTTTATCCATTTACCATCAAAACTGGATAAGGAAGTACTAAGAGAAGCCTCAGTAGGTCACCTGGATTTCAAAGATAGTCCTCCCTGTCCCCATTGTGTAGCAACAGCCCTCTCTCCTCCTGATGATCAGGTCCATTTCCCCCACCTAGATGATTACTTCTTATTGACTGTTCATCCCTTGGCACAAAGAGCTTAAAGTGCCTGAATGATGAGAACCATAGCTTTAAGTTCAATAGGATTCTTACTGTGTCCCCTGGTGGAAACATTTCCCCAAGGGTACCATAACATCTAAATCTGCAGAACACAATTGTAGGGATAGGAAGCACAAATTCCCCAAGTAGGCTTGATGTTAAGTGTGTCCTAGCCTACTTCCACTCATTGGTTCCTGGACCCATATATTCTCCACGTATTAAGGGCACAGTACAATATAGAAGTTACTGATTTAGCATGTATACTGCATCCTGGCAGTTGGTGTGCCAACCTCGATATATCATATCCAAGCTTGTACCTCAGCTGTGCCTTCGATAGACCCTTCTATCATTCTATCATGTTGGTGGCACCTAGGGTCAACAGTGGATCCCATCGTCATGTGCCACTGCTGAATCTCCTTGCTATAAAGTGGGTCCTTTGGTCTGATGCAATGTTATATACGAAGTTATGTTGGTGGATCAAATATTCTGTAAGCCCTTAGATATTGATGTTGCTGGAGGCCCCGTGGGTAGGAAAGACAAATACATACCTAGAATACATGTCTATTCCTGTTAGAACAAATCTCTGGCCCATCCAGAATGGAAGGGGCCTAATATAGTCAACCTGCCACCAAAGTCTCCTTGAAGAATGGTGCCATATCAGTGGCACAGCAGTGAGCTCTGTTGCTAGCATATGGGACATTTGGCAACATCAGTAGCTAAAGTAGTCTTGGCCAGTGGGAACCCATGCATAGTCTCCCTCTCTGCCATTATAGCTACTCCTCCATTAGTTCATTGTGCTCTCATTAGGGTAGCCCGTGACAGAGGCTGACTAATACCTGCCAGTCATTTAATCTACCTGGTTGTTAGTGCTTCTTCTGTACTGGATGCTTTCTGATTGGCCTTGGCGTTTGACCCAAAGATTTTCACACTTTGCATCTTCTCTCATTGGTCCATTCATGTGCCTTTACCCCAGACTTCTTACTCCCCAATCTTGCGATATTTTCTATTTTAGGCCCCTTATCAACTTACCAAAACATTTACCACTACCCATGGAACTGTGTATATCCTAACCTTGGGCTCCTTCTCTTTCTACACAGGGTAAATGACCAGGTTCGCCACCTGAAGCTCTGCTCATTGGATTTCCTCTCACAGCTATTTTCAAGGCTACCCCTAATTGGCACTTCAGTGCACCTGTCATCCATTTTTGACTTGAACCTATATAAGAGGCCAATTCACCTATGAACCCAGCTTGATCTTATTCCTGCTTTGTCAGTCATAAAGAACACTCTCTACCCCCACCATATGGCCATAGTTTTGAGCTGAGGGAGAGATGTCAGTTCATCAGTGGCACATGACATGGGGGTCTGGATGCAGGCTCATGATCCATCGATACAGTGGACCACTGTGATATTCTGTGAGATGTCCAGTTAGTCCAAGTGTCTTCAGATTATATTATGGCAGAGGGCAGAAGATTTAACATAGCCCTGAGAATAGACTAAATATATACTGTTATCCGTTCCAAGAGAACATAACCTGTTTCTGATTCTCCTTTTTTTTTTTTAATTTTTATTTTTTTCTCTCCTTTTTGATAGGGATGGAAATGAAAGCATTTTCCAGCTTAATGCCTGCCTACCACATACCTGAAGCTGTGTAACTCTGCTCCAGCAAAAGTACTATATCTGGCATAGCTGCTGCAAGTACAACTACTACTTCGTGGAATTTGTGATACTCTACTGTCACCCCCCAGAATCCATCTGGTTTTTGCAAGATCCAGACTGGTCAATTAAATGGAGATACACTGGGGACTAGTATCCCTGCATTCTTCAGGTTTTTAAAGGTACTACTAATCTCTGACATTCCCCCCAGGATGAAATGTTTTTGATTTGTTGACAGATGGGGGTGGGTAGCTTTAGAAGTCTCCACCTGGTCTTCCCCATTGCAATAGCTCCTATCACACAGGTCAAGAAATCAATGTGGTGTTGTGCTACCAATTATGTCCATTCTAATTACACATTTAGGGACTGGAAAAATGACCACTGTGAGCTGGGTCAAGATTCCACTTAATACCTGATCACCTAATGCCCCACTAACAGGGAGGCCATGATGATGCTTTGGATCTCCATGTATCAAAGTTAATTAGACCCTGTAACTGATTGTCTTTGAGATGTCTGAATACTCTCCTTTCCCCAGGTTATAGTACCTGAGTTAATGGCCATCAGTCCCTTTGGGTAAACATTAGAGGAATCAGTGCTGTATATACTTGCCATGGTGTCACAGGGTCTTATTCCAGAGCACCTAACCTCTCTTTTAGTCAGTGGGTTCCAGGTCTGAAAACTGGCTCAGGTAAGGATACTGGAGCCAACTGTTTGATTAAAGGGTTGCAACTTTCAGTCCCACCCCTGACCTCCAGGCAAGGGAGATGGGAGAGGGGCTAGAGATTAAGTTCAATTACCAGTGGCCAATGATTTAATCAATCATACCTAAGTAATGAAGACTTCAAAAAACCCACAAAGGACAGGGTTCAGAGAGCTTCTAGGTTGGGGAACCAGAAGCTTCCATGTGCCACCGTGCCAGGCCCCAAACTCCAAGAGGACAGAGACTCCTTTGTTCAGGACCTCACCTTGTGTATCGGTTCATCTAGCTGGATTTACACCCTTTTATAATAAATTGGTGATCAGGTAAGTGAAATGTTTCTCTGAGTTCTGAGAATTGCTCTAGCAAATTAACTGAACCTGAAGAGGTGGTCATTGGAAGCTCCAGTGTACAGCCAGTCGATCAGAAGCACAGGTAACAACCTAGGTTTGCGATTGGCATCTGAAGTGGAGGGAAGCCTTGTGGCACTGAGCCTTTAACCTGTAGAATCTGATGCTAGCTCCAGGTAGATAGTGTCAGAATTGAATTGAATTGTAGGACACCCAGCTGATGTCAGAAACTTTCTGGTTGGTGTGGGGAAATTCCTCACCCCTACCCTGCCAACCCCACCCCTCCAACACACAATGGAATTGGGTGCAGAACTGTTACCAACTATCTTACCTCTGAAGATGCCACTCTATAACTTTGCCCTGCATTCCACTCTGACCTTCCTCATTATGATAATTGTACCACCTGGCGTCTGATGGCTGAACACCTCCACCTGTCCGCTATTATTTTGGGATTTCCCCCACCCCATCATTCCCATTGCTATTTGTGAACCCAATTCTGTAACAACATTCTACCATCACCTCTGCCCTTTAGAGGAGAGCTACCACTGATAGCTCAGAGATGCTGCCCCTCTTACCAGCATATTCTTCATTGCTTTGGCCTTCCTTCGGAACAAAGTCATTTGGTAGGTTTTTAGGGCTTACACAAACTGTCCATTCTAGCATGCTAACTTCCTTAAACTTTTTGACCCCTTTTCCACTGCCTGCCATGGTAGTTCTAGCATTTCTACTTAAGAGGAGCTGTCACTTTTTCCAAGCTTCTAAGAGCCATTCTAGAAGCATGTCAACACCTTCTCCTGGAGTTCTTGCCAGAGTGATAAAACCTTTATCCCAGAAGAGTACTTCTGTTGCAGGAATGGGAACCCCTTCCAGGGCCCGAGAGTGGGCTCTTGTCTAACACTCAGAAGTGAATTGTCTGAGGAGATACACGTGCTGACAAAGCAAGAGACTTTATTGGGAAGGGGCACCCAGGCAGAGAGCAGCTGGGTAAGGGAACCCAGGAGAACTGCTCTGCCACGCAGCCCATAGTCTCAGGGGTAATGGGGTTAGTTTCCAGGTTGTCTCTGGCCAATCATTCTGACTCAGGGTCCTTCATGGTGGTGCGCACATTGCTCAGCCAAGATGGGTTCCAGCAAGAAGGATACTGGGACATATGGACTGGCGTCACCTCTCTCCTTTGGCCTTTCCCGAATTCTTCCAGTCAGTGGTAGCTTGTCAGTGGTAAGGTCCTTCCTTAACAGGACCTCCTGTTGTAAGATAACTCATGCAAGTGGTTACTCTCATGCCTGGCCAGGGCAGGTTGTTTTGGTCAGTGGTTCCCCTAACACTTCCATATTGATAAACACTTCCTTATCCAACTTTGTTTTTCCTCCATCCCTTGATCTAGCACTCTTAGAGTTAAGGCACATAGACACTTTCTAGGCTTCTGAGGTGCATGTCAGCTAAGCTCTGCAGAAACCTTCACCTTTCCTCCTTAGCAGCCCCAACACTTTCCTGTTGGTTTATATTGTAACTTTAGTTATGGATCTGGTGGCTAGGTGGGGTGGCAAGGCAGACCTAGAGGGAGTGTGCATGTGGTCTTAAAGGTCAGAGGCTTCTTAATCATCTTCAAGCCAGAGGAAAGCATTAATTCTTAAGGAGTGGGCCTCTTCTATAGATTCAGAGGGTTTGAGGAAGTCTGGGGATTTGAATTCTGAATCTATCAACCCAGATACGTTTCTACTCAGAGGTCTTCATTTCTGAGGGTCCAGTATTTTCCCAGTCAGGGCCCTGATGTTGTATAACAGACTTGGCTAACTTGGCAACTTAACATTCTTGAACTCTGCTATTCTTCTGATTATATCCTGGGCCTGAGCCTCAGCTTTTCCTGCCCTTCCACTGCAGAAGAGAGTTTCTTAATATGCTGCTGAGGAGGTCCATTAGTTTTCACATTTAGTCTTTAATTAATCATCCTTGGTGTTTCATTAATTGCCTCCAGCAAGAGCCATCCAGTGTCATTGTCTCTATAATTACTACTTCCCCATATTTCTCAGATGCCTCATATACCGCACCCTGGTGCACTTCCTTCCACTGGTACACCATCCCAGTTCATCATCAGTGAAAGTTTGAACGATTGCAGTGCTCTCTTGTGGTTGTTCTGCATCTACAGCCAGTGACGGGGTCCTCATTGCCAGCCAGACAGTAGGTGATCCAGCTCCAAAATCCCATTTTAGCATCTGCTTTCTACCCATCCTGGCACCAACTTTCACAGGTTGGATTCCCCATAGAGCAAACTCTGAGATGAAAACTAGTGTGCAGAAAGTTCTTAAGGGAGCTCTCTCAGGGGGGAATGGAAGGAAGCAAGACTAAGTAAAGGAAGAAACTGAGCTGCAAAACAGTCCCAACAAAGCCTCAGATGACTCCTCAGGGAGCTCTGAATCTGTGATTGCCCTGCTGAATTGTTCCAAGTTCAGGGGAGGGGTCTGGCACTCATATGTTCACATCAACCAGGCATTGGGTGCAGGCTGCCATGGGAAGAGGTGTGCCCTTGAACAAGGTGTCTCTCTTCCACAGAGGTTAATTTGAATAAGTCCTCAGTTCTGAAGAGGGGATCTACATGGTACAGAACAGGATCCATGACAATGATGCTGACAGGCTTTTCAGAATTAAGGGGAACAGAGATGAGTATAGTATAGCCCTAAAGAAGAGGAATTGTTTGGACAAGAGTAACCCTCTCTGTAGCATGATTGTTTTCTTCATCTGCTAGTTAACAGGATTTGATTCCAGTTACAAAATTTGGTCTCACTGTAAAATAACTTTACAGATATTTTGTTGATGAGAATCTAGAAACATTTGAACAAATAATTACTTCATGAACAAGAGAGCCCAGACAGCTTGACCCTTTGATTATACTTATGCTTTAACAGAGTAATGTTTGAAAATACATAGATATCCAGGAAAAAAAGTAAAGCAGTATAAGGTATTGAGAGCACAATTGTGCTTTAATCTGGGTGTTAAGTTTCTAATTGTGACAGCAATCACACTTCTAAGCAAACGCTGTCCACTAGCTCTGCAAACACCTCCAGTGGTACTATTAAAGCAGTTAACTTCACACTGTAAAACATGTCAAACCCAAACATGTCAAATACCCAATTCACTGTATGTTTCATCTGTGTTTTTTCACAAAAAAAGAGGCATATCTAGATTTCATAATCAGAGTCAGCTTCCTGAAGATTTAGATATGAAATAATGCCTGTCAATTTGTTTCTCAAACTAAATGTTTTAAGAACAGTATAATTTATTCTTTAAAGCAATTTTATACATATGTGGAGTCTAGTTAACTTCATAGTGATGTTGTTGAATACAATACAAAACAAATGCAGGTATTTTCCAGGACATTAGGATAGAAAAAGGAGGCTTTAAGAATTCATGAGAAAAAAAAGATAATAAAACTTAAACTTCCTTTTCAGATGTTTTAAATTTTCTATAAAGCTTTTTGTCCTCAAATTAATCATTTAACCATGGTACACAAATACATTGCCTGGTGTCAAGCTGGGAAACCCTCTCTTTTATATAGTAAAATCCTCTTCTGGTCCATTCTGACCCAAGTCCTGGTTGTCTGAGGGCAAATTTCTCTCCAGAGACCTAAAGTTGTAATAAAAAGCATCGTTTTCTTCTAGTGGTTGGTATTCCTGTTCGATTTCACGTAGGAAGCCACTTCCAGAGCCACTTCCAGAGCCTGATCCTGAAAAGTCCTCAGAAAGAGGGAAGACATCATTCAAGTTCCTGGATTTCATCATTCTGAAGCATGACAGAAAAGTGGAAAAGAAACATTAAAGTTTGAGACATGAAAAGATAATCATAATAAATTTTTTAAGATATGAAAGTAAATGTAGCCACTCCGTTGCTCAAATTTTAAGTTAAAAGTTTCCCAGTTATTTAATGTTTTAAAACAAAAAATAAGTCAGACCTTTCCACATATTTACAATACTTACTGTATCTAACTCGTTGCCTTTATCAGCTTCACATCTACTCATTGCAGATGCATATAAAAATGCTAATTTTCTTATCACTAACATAGCAATCCTATATTTAGAATATACTTAACGGGTCATTTATTTTTTACAGAAAAGATCCCATTTTTACACTTTCTCCCACTGAAGAAAGGACACACAAGTAAATTAGACTAGATATATATTTTTCCTATTTTAAAAATTCTGCAAAATCTCTAATAACTTCACAGGGCTTCAACAAAGCTCACGCTTAAGAAATTCTTTGCAACAAGTCAAGCATTATATTTGCCAGCATGTTAACATTCAATCTCCTCCCCGCAAATAAGTGCATTCATTCAACTGGGTTCAGTGGGGTAGTTTGAAATCCACTCAGCACCAAAGGACCGGAGCAATGATGCCACCCATCAGTGGCAGAATAAGGCAACAAAGCATCAGAGACAAAAGTTGAGTTTCACAGCCTATGGGTCATTTTCTACATGAAAATAATAAACCACAGGCCATACAACAGATTAGAGTTTCCTTCATGCCTACATTCGATAAATATTGAATATCTGATCCCTGTTCTGAGGGCCTGGGATAGAATGGGGACTGACAGATGAGGTCCCTGCTCAGAGGTTTATAACTTTGGCGGGGAGACAGACAATAAAAAGTGAATAAGCAAATCAGGAAAATATTAGGTGGGGCTAAATGTTATGCAGAGAAACAAAGTGGAATAATGTAATAGAGGGTGACCTGCTGGATAGTTGGTCAGCTGGTTAGGAAAAGGAATCAGAGCTGGAAACAGATTTGGTAGTTTCTCCCTCTTCCTCTCCCTCTCCCTCTCCCTCTCCCTTTCTCTCTCTCTCTCTCTCTCTCTCTCTCTCTCTCTCTCTCTCTCTCTCTCTCTCACACACACACACACACACACACACACACACACACACACATAGTATTTAAAGCCATGGAACAGGATGAAGTCACCCAAAAAAGGCATGCAGATACAAAAGCAGCCCACGACAGAGCTAGGGCCACCCCAACATATTAAATATTAATCAAAGGAGAAAGAACAGCCAGGGAAGTAGAAGGAAACCCAAGACAAGGTGGGGCCATGGAAGCCCAGAGAAAAAAGTATTTCAGAGGAAGGGTGGTCAACTGTTTTTGAAAACAACTGACAAGTCAAGTGGGAATTCCCTGGCGGTTCAGTGGTTAGGACTCTGCACTTCAGTGCCAAGGGCGCAGGCTCAATCCTTAGCCCGGAACTAAGATCCCACAAGGCATGTGGCGCAGGAAAAAAAAAAGAGAGAGAGAGAAGTCAAGTTAGCTAAACATAGAGAAGTAACCAGCAGATGTGTCAACAGGAAGTAATTGTGACCTATTTGGTTGCTGTTTTTATTCTTTTGGATCACCATTCTCCCTATCCCTTTTTTTTTTTTTTTTGCGGTACGCGGGCCTCTCACTGTTGTGGCCTCTCGCGTTGCAGAACACAGGCTCTGGACGCGCAGGTTCAGCGACCGTGGCTCACGGGCCCAGCCGCTCCGCGGCATGTGGGATCTTCCCGGACCAGGGCACGAACCCATGTCCCCTGCATCGGCAGACGGACTCTCAACCACTGCGCCACTAGGGAAGACCTCCCTATCCCTTCTTGCCTCCCTCCCTCCTAAACATGTACAATAACTATGACTGCTACAAACTTGTATATAGTTTTTGGATCAAATAACATGAGGAGATGGGGAACCATTAAAAATTGGGACTCCTGCTCTCCTTTGCTTTGTAAATTCAGAAGTCGGGAGTGGGAAAGAGGAATAGTTAAAATGTTTAAAAAACTTTAAGCTCCCTTGGAACTTTTACCAGTGTGGAGGAAAATAAAAAAGAACTTAAATTGGGAATTCCCTGGCAGTCCAGTGGTTAGGACTCCACGCTTTCACTGCCGAGGGCCCAGGTTCAATTAAAAAAAAAAAGAACTTAAATTAAAAAAAAAAAAAGTAGGCTTCCCTGGTGGCGCAGTGGTTGAGAGTCCGCCTGCCGATGCAGGGGACACGGTTTCGTGCCCCGGTCCGGGAGGATCCCACATGCCGCGGAGCAGCTGGGCCCGTGAGCCATGGCCTCTGAGCCTGCGCATCAGGAACCTGTGCTCCGCAACGGGAGAGGCCACAGCAGTGAGAGGCCCGCGTACCGCAAAAAAAAAGTAAGTGCTTCTACCAAGCTCTCTGGGTGAAGGTAGAACCAGAAGGGGTTGAGGAGATAGTAAGCATCAGCAACCCTATCAGGAAGTGTTACTATGAAGAGGAGCAGAGAATGGGGCAACAGCTGGAAAGGATGCAGAGTCAAAGAGGGGATTTTACCTAAATGTAGGAGATACTAGAGAATGTCTGCATACTGATGAGAAGAAGATGCTGGGTTCAGAGGGTTAACTGCAGAATTAAAGTCCTGGAGAAGGTGCATGGGGATAGGATGCCCAGCACAAGGAGGGGTGGCCTTAGAAGCTGCCACAGTCATAGTACAGTCAAGAAACTTACCTAAATATTTAAGACAGGGAATTGCTAACACATGAGATGGAAGAGAAGCAAAGCCAAATAGGGAATAATAAGGAAACCCAGAGATGAGGAACAGCAAGAAAATATTTCCCTCCCTGGGCTAGAGGGACAGTGGAGGAGGTGGTACTACCTGAGCCCAGGGACCAAGAGCATCTGGTGGAAGCTGAAGCCATGGATGAGACACAGCCCTGCCAGAGGTGCCACCCAAGGCAGGAATGAGAAGAAACATCCTTGTCTCTTCTTGCCGCCCACGCTGACCAGTCTCCCTGTCAGGCATCCCACTGGCCAAACTCAGCCACAGATCTGGGAGCCTGAGAAATGCAAACCATAGGGATCAGCCCTCACCACCCTCACCCAACGGAGAGCAGGGAGATGGAAGGAGAAGAAATGGATCTGAGAGCAAGAGTGTCCAAGACCGTCACAGAAGCAGGGGCTGTGCATCCATATTAACAGGAGTGTCAGAGCAAGAAGGAAAGTTGCTGGCTGAGGAAAGGGAAGATCCTAGAGATTTTTTTTTACTTATTATTTTTAGTTGAGGTAGAGTTGATTTACAATATTATATACATTTCAGGTGTACAACAGTGATTCACAATTTTAAAGGTTATATTCCATTTATAGTTATTATAAAATATTGGCTATATTCCCTGTGTTGTACAATACATCCATGTAGATTATTTATTTATTTTTATTTATTTATTTTTGGCTGCGATGGGTCTTCCTTGCTGTGCGTGGACTTTCTGTAGTTGGCGCAAGCCGCGGCTACTCTTCGTTGCGGTGCGCGGGCTTCTCATTGCGGTGGCTTCTCTTGTTGCAGAGCACGGGCTCTAGGTGCACAGGCTCAGTAGTTGTGGCACACGGGCTTAGTTGCTCTGCAGCATGTGGGATCTTCCCGGACCAGGGCTTGAACCCGCGTCCCCTGCATTGGCAGGCGGATTCTGAACCACTGAGCCACCAGGAAAGCCCGATTATTTATTTTATTCACAGTAGTTTGTACCTCTTAATCCCCTGCCCCTAGCTTGCCCCTCCCCCTTCCTTCTCCCCACTGGTAACCACTGGTTTGTTCTCTATATCTGTGTGTCTGTTTCTTTTTTGTTATATTCACAAGTTTGTTTTATTTTTTAGATTCCACGTATAAGTGATATCATACAGTATTTGTCTTCTCTGTCTGACTTATTTCACTAAGCATAATACCCTCCAAGCCCATCCGTGTTGCTGCAAATGGCAAAATTTCGTTCTTTTTTATGGCTGAGTAGTATTCCAGTGTGTGTGTGTGTATCACATCTTCTTTATCCATTCATCTACTGATGGACACTTAGATTGCTTCCATATCTTGGCTATTATAAATAATGCTGCTATGAACATTGGGGTACATATATCTTTTCAAATTAGTGTTTTCATTTTCTTTGGATATATACCCAGGAGTACAGTTGCAGGATCATATGGTAACTCTATTTTTAGTTTTCTGAGGAACCTCCACACTGTTTTGTACAGTGGTTGCACCAATATACATTCCCATTAACAAGGTACAAGAGTCCCCTTTTCTCTACATCCTCGCCAGCAATTTATTATTTGTGATCTTTTTGATGACAGCCATTCTGACAGGTGGGAGGTGATATTCATTGTGGTTTTAATTTGCATTTCTCTGGAGATTAGCGATGTTGAGCATCTTTTCATGTGCCTGTTGTCTAACTGGATGTGTTCTTTGGAAAAATGTCTATTCAGATCTTCTGCCCAGTTTTTAATCGGGATGTTTGTTTTTTTGATGTTGAGTTGTATGAGCTGTTTATATACTTTAGATATTAACCCCTTATTAGTCATATCACTTGCAAATATTTTCTCCCATTCAGTAGGTTGTCCTTTTGTTTGTCGATGGTTTCCCTTGCTGTGCAAAAGCTTTTAAGTTTAATTAGGTCCCATTTGTTTATTTTTGCTTTTGTTTCCTTTGCCTTAGGACACGGATCCAAAAAATTATTGCTACAATTTATGTCAAAGAGTGTGGAAGATCATACAGATTTGAGGAGGGAAGAAATAGTGTAAATATTTGTTTTGGAGGACTTGCGTTGTTCCTCTAATATCTTAGATTTAAATGAATCACTGTTGAAATCCGTGACTTAAAATAATGGAGGATGCTGTAATATCACGTTCAAGCTTTATGCCGTGGACCTAAAAGCGCAGGGTTGCAGAGTTGCATTTTGAGGATGGTGGTGATATAATTTCAGTGATGAAGGGGGTTACCAGGATCCCCAAAGTGATGATAGACTTACGTGGTTTGGGCATGATGATTTACGTGGCTTTCAGGGGAGTGATTTTCTATTTAAGCCTGAAGATTAAAACTTTTATGATAATTCTTTTCATAATGTATCTTTGCTACATATAATTTTGATATTCATTGAAATAATGGGTTTTAATACAATTCAATTTTTGTTACTTATGAATTCCTATTGGATCTTTTTTGCAAGTATAAGGCAGGTTTTATTTGATCAAGAAGAGTTTTGGATGTATGGACACCAAGGGAGGAAGTGGGGTGGGGGATGAATTGGGAGATTGCGGTTGACATTTATACACTAATATGTATAAAATAGATAATAAGAACCTGCTGTATAAAACGTAAATTAATTTAATTTAATTTAAAAAAAAGAAGAGTTTTGACTTTCTTTTTTATGAGTCGTGGTCACTTATTCTTCCTTTCCCTAATTTCTTCTTTTTTTTTTTTATCACTACCATCTAAACGGAACATTTTTGTCACCCCTCAAAAATCTTGCACCTAATAGCAGTCACTCTTTATTCCTCCCTCCCTCACAGCCCCTGGCAACCACTACTCTATTTCTGTCTCTATGGATTTGCCTATTCTGGACATTTCACATAAATGGAATCATACAATATGTGGCTTTTTGTGTCTGGTTTCCTTCACTTTGCATAATGTTTTCAGGATTCATCCATGTTGTAGCATTTATCAATAACTCCTTCTTTCTTATGGCCAAATAATATTCTACTTAAGGGATGTACCACATTTTGTTTATCCATTCAGGTGATAGACTCCTATTGGATTTTAATATAAATATACAATGTGCTCTATTTACATTAATAAAATAATGTTCAATCATTTTCAATACCTATTGGTGAAAAGTATTCAATTTTTGTTTCTGCCGCAAGAAAAAGACCTTGCAAATGTGTAGGTGAATAGGGACCTCCCTGGTGGCGCAGTGGTTAAGAATCTGCCTGCCAGTGCAGGAGACACAGGTTCTATCTCTGGTCTGGAAAGATCCCACATGCCGCAGAGCAGCTAAGCCCGCACTCCGCAACTACTCAGCCCGCATGCCTAGAGCCCATGCTCCGCAACAAAAGAAACCACCACAATGAGAAGCCCGTGCACCGCAACGAAGAGTAGCCCCTGCTCTCAGCAACTAGAGAAAGCCCGCACGCAGCAACAAAGACCCAACTCAGCCAAAAATAAATAAATTTTAAAAAATAAATAAAATTCTTAAAAAGGTAGGTGAATCATGTATTCTTGTGCATCTCATATACCAGTAAAGACAGTACAGTTTTACCCTGTACTGTGCAGTGAAAACCTAACCATGGAACCTAACCATGGAAGCAAGAGCCTGAAGAAAAACACTCTTGGCAACCCTCCCACCTCCATGCCAGGATCTCAGCAGCGGATGGTGAAAGTAAAATCAAGAAAGTCCACTTACGAAAAAGGGTCAGTCCTTGGAGGTAGGATTCTGTTGTATTCACCTGGAAGTAGATCGAACTCTGGTCCCTTTTCATCAATGCAGTTTGCAGAATTGCTGTCAGGATTGCAGCGTACCCACTGGTATCTGGCTTTCCGCACAGGAGAACCTGCCCAAACATGGAACCCACGTGGTCAATAAATGTCTCTTACACAGCTTCTAATCACTCTGTCCCTAAGAAATTTTTAATTAAATAGATTCTAAATTTGGTAGGTAAGGTGTGGACAGGTTTTATGATCATTAATATCACAGGAGCACCGACTATTTGCTAGCCCTTTATGCACACCATTTGTCCTTCTCACAACACCCCTCTAAAGTAGCCTAGAGTTTAAGGTTAGAACAGGCTTTGGCAATTAGCTGCCTGGAGTGAAGTCTCAGCTCTGCTACTGGTGAGCTGTGAAACCTTAACTTCCCCAAGCCCCCACCAGAAAACTGAGGTACTAAGAGTGTCTCTCTTTCATAAGCTGGTCACAAAAATTAAATGAGAAAATGCATGTAAAGATCTTAACATAGTGCCAGGTACACAGTAAACACTTGAAAATATTAACTATCATTATCTTTGTACTATTATTTCCATTTTATACAAAGGAAAACTGAGGCTGCACAGGTACTAAGTAAAAGACCCAGGATTCAAACCTGTATCTGACCCTGAATCCTGCCTGTTCTGGTAGAGATGAGTCGAATCATGCTCAGAAAGGTTAAGGCATGTACCAATTGGTACCCGAGATACTACAGAGCCCTAGTTCTTTAGGGCCATTCTTGGGTATTGAAAAGAAATTCTTGGGTATTCTTGGGAATGAAAAGTAGGTTAAAAACTTGGCCTCTTTCTTTGCCCTCACATCTAGTCAGAGATTTCAAAAATCCCTCGGCAGTGAAAGCCTGGAGTCCTAACTACTGGACCGCCAGGGAATTCCCTCCAAGGTATGTTATTAAGTTAAAAAAAGTAAAGAACACTATGAATTGTTTGTTACCATTTGTGTGTGTTTGTGTTTTTTCACATTATATTTACATATATGCTTATATGCACAGAACATCTCTGAAAAGATACACAGCAAACTGATCATCTTTGTGGAGGGAATTGGTGGCTGGAAGACAGTGGAAGGAAGAGCATTGACTTTTCACTGCATATCCTTTTGAATCATTAGATTTTTGAGCCATACGTATGTATTATCTATTCAAAATTATTTTTATTTTTTGACAGCTTTCTTAAGGTGGACTTGACATTCAATAAGCTGTGCATATTTAAAGTGCACAATTTGTTTCGACAAATGGATACACAATGGAACCATCACCACAATCAAGGGTATGAACATATTCAACATCCCCCAGAGTTTCCTTGTGCCCCTTTGTGATCCTGCTCTTCTCCCTCCCTCCTCCTGACTCCCCCCAGCCCCCCTCAACCATCAATCTACTTACTGTCATTATAAATTAGTTTGCATTTTCTAGAATTTTATGTAAATGGATACATACAGCAACTTGTCAATGGTTTCCTGACTTTAAATCAGGTTCTAGAGGGCTCTCTACCTTTTATAGTACGCTCTCCTAGAAATGGAGAGTTTATTTAGATATTCCTTACATCTAGACTGCTTTTGTTGCAATTTTTAATAAAATTTATCTTAGAAAAGGAATGTATGTTCATTATAGAAAATTTTGAAAAATGTAGCAAACCAACATACAAAAAAATTTACTCCTAATCTCATTACCCAGCCCTCCCAAAGACCATAAGTCCTGGAGTTTTGCTTTTTTTCCCTCTGGGTATCTGTATTTCTAGGAGAGTATGCACAAGTTGTGTCCTATTCTCAACTATCAGAGGTTGAAAAGTGAAGCCTCTACTGAGGTCAAATTCACTTTACATCTTAATGGGATGGCCAAGGACTTTGTTCTTAAAAGATTGCAGAACCACAGAACTTTTGCAAAATGTCCTCTTTCCTCATGAAACTCTATTATGTCTGTTTACACTCAACTTTGTCCTAGCTAATATTTCTGATTAATTTTATAAATACAGCATTGCTAATTTATTAATAACATCATTAAGATATACATTATATACATATATATGGAGAGAAAGAGAGAGAAAATATATAAAGAATTCATGATGCTGTTCACCTTAGTATTATTTAAAATAGGGAAACAGGAAATAACTAAATAATCAAAACAAGAGAAAATACTCAGATTAATTATGAGGCATTCATATGAGAGACTATTAAACAAATGGGAAAAAAGCAGTAGTTATGGAAAAGACTATATAGCATCATAGGAAAATCTATGTTCAAAAATTAGTTTAAAAAAAGCAGAGGGGACTTCCCTCATGGTCCAGAGGGGACTTCCCTCGTGGTCCAGGGGACTTCCAATGCAGAGGACTCAAGTTCTATCCCTGGTCAGGGAACTAAGATCCCATGAGCTGCAGGGCAACTAAGCCCGTGTGCCGCAACTATGAGCCCACAAGCCATAACTAGAGAGCCCTTGCGCCACAACTACTGAGCCTGCATGTGCTGGAGCCTTTGCGCCACCACTAGAGAGGAGTCCGTGTGCCACACGAAAGATCCTGTGTGCTGCAACTAAAACCTGATACAGCCAAAAATAAATAAATAAATATTTTTTAAAAAGCAGAATACCACTCTATTCATAACAGTTGTTAATGCAACTACATATATAGATATCGGGGGGCGTGAGGAATGGGAGGAAATACACAGAAATAACTATAGTGGTAGACTGGTGATTTTTTTCTCACTTTGTTTTCTAAATTGCTGTAATAAACAATATTCTTTTAAAAATATAAACAAAACAAAGACTCTAATGTAGAAAGTAAATGTTCTCCCATTGTTTTCCTTCTTTCTTTCTGTCTGTCTTACTTTCATTCATTCTTTCTTTTAGAACTACTATTCTATCACAATCTTCCCCATAGTTCCTGAATATAGCTTACAGTTTCTGGTCTGGGACGCTACTCATCCAGAATGGGTTAGCTTTGTCACTGCTTGGAGGCTGGAGGTAAGGCTTGACATCAACTTGTGATGTCAAGTTGACATCACAATGTCTCCCCCTTACTAGCTGTGTAACCTTAACCTCCCTGTACCTCAATTTCTTCATCCATAAAATGGGGACAGTAGTAGCTCTAATAATGAGATATAAATATTAGGCTCGTAGAATAGTACCTAGCACCATGGTCAGAGCTCTTTTTTTTTTTTTTTTTTTTTTTTGCGGTACGCGGGCCTCTCACTGTTGTGGCCTCTCCCATTGCGGAGCACAGGCTCCGGACGCACAGGCTCGGCGGCCATGGCTCACAGGCCCAGCTGCTCTGCGGCATGTGGGATCTTCCCGGACCGGGGCACGAACCCGCGTCCCCTGCATCGGCAGGCGGACACTGAGCCACCAGGGAAGCCCAGAGCTCTTTATTTATTTAAATTAATCTCTCCCTTTTCTTTTCTTTTCTTTTTTAACATTTATTTGTTTATTTATTTTGGCTGCACTGGGTCTTGGTTTCAGCACGAAGGATCTTCATTGTGCCATGCGGGATCTTTGTTGCAGCATGCGGACTTCTTAGTTGCGGCATGTGAACTCTTAGTTGACACAGGCATAGGAGATCTAGTTCCCCAACCAGGGATCGATCCCGGGCCCCCTGCATTGGGAGCACGGAGTCTTAACCGGTGGACCACCAGGAAAGTC